AGGAGCTAAATGAGCCTTGATCAGAGGAAATTCATGCTGTTGAACCCAGGGTCAGTTTTCATCCTTTCCACAGTGGACACTGCATTCATGGGCTTGTTGTGCCAACATTGGGTAGCTAATGGCTGAGGAAGAAGGATGAAGTCAATGGGGCAATTTGTTCAGTCTTCTTTATTGTTAGTTGCCTCTTTAGTAGTGGATGCTCACCGGTGGGAGTTACATGTAATTCCCTCTTTTACAACAAAGAGTAATGACTAATATTAGCACTATTGTCAGTAAGTAACTTTCCCCTCAAGGTTTTTTGTTTTGTTTTTTTTTTTTTTAAACACAATGTTAACATGTAGCTTATGGTTTCAAGTACAACTTTCAACTAAGGTTGAACTTTATTGGGACTTACAATTTTCTACTCTTATGCCATATTTTATCTTCCAGCTCTGATACTGAATTTTTATTTCAGCAATCATATTTTTCAATTTACAGGATCTCTTTTTTTGTTTATTGTTATACTATCACACAGCTATACAATATAATCTCTTTTTTTTAAAGATATTTAGTGTTTCTGAGTCCATAGTCTCTCATGGTTCGTCAAACTGAGGGTTCTAGAGGGGAGGGGGGTAGGGGGATGGGTTAGCCTGGTGATGGGTATTAAAGAGGACACGTACTGAATGGAACACTGGGTGTTATACGCAAACAATGAATCATGGAACACTACATCAAAAACTAATGATGTAATGTATGGTGATTAACATAATAAAATAAAAAAATTTTTAAAAGATATTTAGTGGATTTTTTTTTTTTGTTATCAGCTTGTCTAGTTCCTTTGGATTTTCCCCCTCCTTGTTAATCGCTCCTCCCCCCACTTTTTTTATTTGGAGGATTTCATTTTACCAAGTGTTTAGTGATGCCGGGCTTTCATTTATGGGTGTTGATTTTTTGGCTGGTGGTCTTCATTAAACTCTCATTACGTGCTTTAGCCAAACTTTAAGAGAGTATTTTAGTTGTTAGTATTTGAAGAAAAAATTCTGGTAAAATTATTGCCTGCAGTAACATGGAAGACAGAAAATGTACCTAATGCACGCATGGCATTGGGTGAGATTTTAAGGCAGAATTTTGAAAAAATAAGTTGGCTGCTATTAGCTGTAATTGATAAAGTACTTACTCTAAGAAAGAAACAAGCTCAAAAATAAGGAGGTAGGCAAGCAAATAGAATTGAAATGGAATACAGAGCTTAGGTGGGCAGGGTTGGAAAATGAAATGTCTTTCACCAAATCAAATGTGTGATAGTTAAATGTAGCTTTAGGACAAAGACATTATCATGGACTCAAGAAAAAGACCCAATAAAGAGTATAACAATATACTCATTCTTTTAAGACCTCTGAAGGGATGAAAGGGGATGCCTTTCCCTTGAATGAATGAGCTACCTCAAAGATTAAGGGATTAATTGATTAAAAGTAATAAGAAGATTGATATGCTCAAGATATACAGGTCTACAAACTAAGTCATGAACACTCGAACATCTCAGGCTGAACTAGTTAGTGACAGTTTCTCCGATCCTTTTCTGCTACAGTCTTCCAGATCTTTACTCATACGACTCATATTAAACCTCTTTATTCATGTAATACTTGTAATGAATCTGCTTTCCTCACCAAATCCTAACACATATGGCTGCCCTAGAAAGAGCGCCTAAGGCAAAAAATTAATATATTACTTTATTAGAAAGGGCAATCCATGCTGGTGAAAGTAAGGAAGAAAGGCTAGCCAGGATGAGAAGCAAATGCAAATTGGTAAGTTATTGCATAGCACTTGGTTTCTGTTTCATCAAAAGCCACGATGAGACTGCCACTCACTTGGCAAGTACACTTGCTTAGCTACATGGTGTATTTCTGCACAGGAGAGTGAAAAACTGTGCCTCAAAGCAGTCTATCAGAAAAAAAGAAATTGATCTGACAGCTTCTTCTAGTTCATTGATCCAAGTTTTCCAAACAGTTAACTTCACTGCTCTTCCACATACATCACCTAGCCCTTCTTCTGACAGTCAGTGGGGAAACTTGGTGGCATGATACTTCCTAGAGTGTAGAAGTGTTGGGATAGGTCTGGGATTCTGAGCATGTGGCTAGTTGACCTCAGGCAAAGGAATCACTGTCACTATCTATGCAGGGTGGTAACTATGGCAAAATGAGTGGTTAGTGGCCTGGGAAACAGTGAGGCCCAGAACCTGAGAAGGCACTTGAGGAAGATGTGTCAGATACTGAATCTAAAGACGAGGTTATCTATTAGCACAATAACACTGTACAATAAACAGCTATAAAACTTCAGTGGCACAATAGACATCCCTTGCTAACACATCTAGAATCAGAAAGGTGTCAGGTGGTTCTGCTGATCCCAGAAGAGATCATTCACATTATCTGGGGGTTGACTTGGCTGTCAGCTAATCTAGACAGGATTCAGCTAGAGTAACCAATAACTTGGCTCTCCTCCATGCATGTCTAACCCTCCAGCAGGCTAACCAAAGCATGTATGTGCTTATGGCAACAGCAGAAGCACAAGATTCAGTAAAAATTCACTAGATCTTTGAAAACAAATATGGTCCAGAATCAGTGAAAGGGTACTTCAAAGGAGAATGAAAAAGGACCATGAATATAGGGAAAACTAAAGAATTAGGGACATTTTTACAGTCTATCATACCAAAGAAAAACAATTCATTGTTCTAAAAGGTATTATTATTTTCTTTGGAAAACCTTGAGATTTTATCTGGCCTTAGCTATAAATTAGGCTCTTAGGAAGTCTGTCAGTCATCATTTTTATGCCAGCTGTGAGATGGGGGCAAACCCCTCCCTCTTACCTGTTATGTTTAGTTGGTTTGTAGAGCCAGTTAAATGGCAATAGATTTTGGCTCAGGGAAGTCCAAATTTAGCCCAGAGAAATCCAACTTTGGCCCTGCTTAAATCAATTTGGGGCTTCCTCTGTTCCCAAGGCCAAGTTCTAAACATGAAGAAATCCATTTTAATTCCATTCTTGTAAAATAAATGCTAAATAGGCAAGCCAGTTGATTTGGCTAAGACTATGGGACTAATCATGTTCAAACCTTATATAATCCCCACTACTGTTTATGAAAGAGCATAATAAAATGGTCACTTCACTGAACCAAATCAGAAGTCCCAGACGCTAGACCAGATCCTACCACTAACTAGCTGTGTGACCCATGAGCAAGTTACTTAATCTCTTTAGATCTCAGCTGCCTGTATAATCAGGGATTGCTCTAAACTAATGTTCCAATTATCCTATATCCACAAGATGTGAGTAGGCACTACTTATTCAAATAAGTTTAAGAAATACTAACTTAAAGTTCAAAATGTTTATTTCAAGACTTTCCAGCACTTTTAAGCTGTACCTTTTGAATCTCTAACAGGGGAATATGATGTGCAGCAAATAAATTTCACCAATGACTCATTTTTTCATAAAACATGTTATGTGTTGCCCTGAATATACTTAGGTAAATGTATCATTACTGCTAGCATCCACATGATTGCATCTATCAATCAGGGTCCCAGAAAGAAACAGAGGGACACTGGAGAAGAATATAATAAAATGACTATTTACAAAGGTATAGGCAGGGTGTAGGGAAGCCAGCAAGGAGTAATGAACTACTCTGGGGCTAGTTACACCTGGGGGGGCTCTTCCCTCCTGTAAAGGGATGGAGCAGGGACGTGAAATTAGAGAGAGTAACCGGGATAACTGCCTGGAAAGCAATGCCTGATAGAATGGTCTCCAGGAGAGGTACACAGCCAATCCATGGTGACCTGGCAGGAAAGGAGCGAGGGAAATAAATAATACAATTTAATTTTCCTTCAACCTCCAATCTCTTACGAATGCTTTCATCTGTTGAACCTAACCAAAATCCAGAGGGGAAGGGGACCCACCTCACAGAGCAGAGAGCAGAATGGAAAAAGGTGGAGGGTGAATCCAAACAGAAGCTATCTGGCACAGTACGGCTCCATTCTTAAGAAGCTAGATTAGGTGATTAAATGATGTCCTCGGAACTCGGTCTTAGCTCTCCTCTCTGCTTTCCTTTGCTGGCTTCATTCTAAGGCAAGTTCCTACCATCTGCAGCACAGATGCCACCAGCAGCTCTCAGGTTATAGCATGGTTAGTCTGCAACTTCAGATAAAATGATAAAAGGAGTAAACACATATACAGCACTTAGTATATGCCAGGTGCTGTTGAAAGCTCCTTAGATACATTAACTCAGTTAATCCTCATAATAATTCTGTAAGGGAGCTACTGTACTAACATCTCTTTAGAAATGAAGAAACTGACACATGACTGGTAAGTGGAAAAGGATAAGCTGAGATCTACATTCAGGTAGTTAGCTCTAGAGTCTGTGCTTTTAACTACTGTATCGTATTGCTTTTTGAAAAGTAAACCTTATCTCCTACAGCATTCATATCACTTATCAAAAAGGATGCTGGGTCATGTGCTTATCCTTGGATCAATCACTGGGCATTTTGCTTGCTAAACCGGGTCACATGTCCACATGACTGCCAGCAATTTCTCCCCAAAAGATGTCAGGCAAATGTAAAAAGCAACAGATGTCCATCACAGGCAGTATGGACTTAAAGAAATAGCCCTAGGGACTGAAGCCACAATTCCAGTTCTGCCCGTGTTTGCCACAAACCTCCAGTAAGTTATTTATGACTTCATTTTCAGCAAGGAGATTCTGACCCCTCCTACCTCCAAATGTGGTAGTGGGTTACAGAAGGAAAAATATGAAGATCCCTAAACAAATATCTAATTATATCTAATTACATAGATATATTAAAATACAGTAATAAAATTTAGATATGCCAAACTTCAGCAAATAGCTTCTGAAATGAGTTTTTCAGCCAACGCTGTCTCTGAAAATTCCTTTAGAAATAATTCCCTTTAAAAAAATGAGATAAATGAATGAAACCTTATTTTTTCAAGTGGTCTTACAGACACTATACATTAATATTTCCTAAGAATAAACAAAGCACAATTATAGGTTTATTGATTTTTAGCAAAATAAAATGACATAAGTAGCTTCTTAAAAACTAATGGATAAGTTTTCTTGTTTCCTTGTCTCCAGAGCATTTGGCATTCTTTATCAACTGGTACATAAAAGAGTAGAAAAATAAGAGATTGTCATATTGTCCTTGGTATTTCTCTTTTAATATATCAGTATGGTAGTCTACCAGAAAATAGTAAATGGCTTCAATTGTGGAAAGGAAGGTATCTGGCTTTCCTTTTTGATGGCGCCAAAAGCAAGTTTTTCTTGTTTTCAACTCAACTTGTAACAATCCTGCCAAAAACAAATAAAAAAAAGTATAAATATTTCTTCTTAACCACAGAGGCTGGCACAATGATAAGTTCTCTTAATTATTTTAAGAATTAAAAAAAGGATTCTTTTAAGAGTACAGATGAGTTCCTTCAATCCCAATTCCAAATAGAATATTTTCTTAAATGCATTAAGGCATATACAGAAGCAATATAAAACACAGAACAAAATCTTCTATATGACAGTTACTTATCTATAAATCTTAGAACTTGCAACCACGAGTTAAAAGTAGTAAACAATTAAGATGTTCACCTCTCTCTATCTTCTATTCACCAGTGTCTTTTTTTACTTTAACCAGTGACAGGACTAAATTCACCAATATTCAGAAGGGTTACATTTCCTTGATGACCTGACATTTAAAACATCATTATAAAACTCACGGAAAAGAGATAGGCAGGTTAATGGCTCTTAATATGGTTAAAAGTTTATTTCTGGACTATCACTTTTTGGCTATATCTTCATGAACAGAGTACCCTAGAGTTGTTTCCTTAGCTCTGCCACATTTGTTGAGTGAGACCTCAATGACACAGTCGGCTAGAATGCCTTACTCCTGTGCATTTAAAGAGGAAATTATTCATGAAATCACAGAACAGTACTCTCATTTCTTAAAACTCAGATGTTAACATACAAACCCAAAATGCTTTTAGAGCCTTAGGCCAGTACTTAGGCTCACATTATATTTATTTTGCTATACTTTTTAAAAAAGTATATTTATTTTAAAGTGAGAAATAAAAGGGAGAAGATAGTATTAAAATTAGCCTCTTTACTAAGATTCGGAACCTCTGAGTTACCAATGATTTCCTACTATCACACCTCTCCTTAACCTAAAAGCTACTTCAGAAATGCAGCAGAGGGACACAAAATAAATACTATAAAAAATTAAGATTTTAAGATATAAGGAGGATCCAATGTCTAATAGGACTCCCAAGAAAAGAGAACAAAGAGAATGGAGATGAGATAGCATATAAAGAGATAATGCCTATGACTTTTCCAGAGACTATTTTTAAAAATGCAAAGTCACAGATACATGAAATAATGTATCTCAAGCAGAATAAATACAAAGAAATTAGTGCCTAGACCTATCACACCATAGTGAAACTGCAAAAGAGCAGGAATAAAGAGATCTTTAAAGTGGCCATTAAGGGACACCTGGGTGGCTCAGTCCATTAAGCATCTGCCTTTGGCTCAGGTCATGATCCCAGAGTCCCAGGATCGAGCCCGCATTGGGCTCCCTGTTCGGCAGGGAGTCTGCTTCACCCTCTGCCCCTTACCCTGCTCGTGCTCTCTCTCTCTCTCAAATAAAAATAAAATCTTAAAAAAAATAAAGTAGCCATTAAGAAGAGGCAGATCATATATAAAAGAATGGTAATCAGAATGACAGGAGACTTTTCATTAGCAACAGTAGAGTATTGAAGACTATGGAATAACATCTCCAAAGTGTTAAAAAAAAAAACAACTAACAACCTAAAACTGTGTACCCAGCAGAACTATATATTAAGAACAGAAGTGAAAACATAGTAGAGAAACAAAAATTGAACATATGCCAACAGGAAACCAAATGAAAGGAATTTCTAAGGAATATATTTCAGTCTGGGTTAAAAGAATAGTGAGCAAAGAAAATGATAAACATCTCTGTAAATCCAAATAAACACTGCCTGAATGACACAAAAAACAATAACAATATCTAATTTGTGGGTGAAGATAAAGGACAGAACAAAAATAATAAAGAAAGTAACAGTAACTTGGTGAACTAGGAGGGAGCTGAATCAAACTTAAGTGTGGTAAATCCTTAGAGTGTTCAAAGGAGAGGTAAAAATATTGACTTTCAATTCTTCTAAGTCACAAGTGCACAGTCCAGTTTTCTAAAAGAACCAAAATAGGAATATTAAAAAATGAAATAAAAAATAAAAGCTCGATCAAAGGAAAGTCAAGAAAAAAAGTAAAAAAAAGGACAAACAAAATTCTAGATGGTAGAAATATTTCCAAAAATATCAATACTCATAGCAAATGTGAATAAATGAAACCTGCCATGTAAAAAAGACAGAGATTCTCAGACTGAAACACAAGGATTACCTCTACAGGGCTTCTGCTCAATGTACTCGAGGTCTTAGCTGACATAGTAATAAAAACAATAAATTAATTAGATGTATAATAACTGAAAAGGAAGAAACACAACTGACTTTACACAGAAAATACTTTTAAAATCTATAAACAAAATTTTAAAAAACATTATCTTAGGGTAGAAAGGATTTAAACAAGACACAAAAAGTGTTCAACATGAAAGACTGATAAATTCCACATGAAGAACTTCTGTTCCTCAAAAGACACAATAAAGAAATTTAACAGATGAGTCATAAACTGCAAGAAGATATTTCAAAACATTACTATTTATATTCTAGTAGATATAAAGAATTCCTACAAAAATCAATTAAAAAAACACTAGAGGGGTGCCTGGGTGGCTCAGTCATTAAGCGTCTGCCTTCGGCTCAGGTCATGATCCCAGGGTCCTGGGATCGAGCCCCACATCGGGCTCCCTGCTCCGCGGGAAGCCTGCTTCTCCCTCTCCCGCTCCCCCTGCTTGTGTTCCCTCTTTCACTGTGTCTCTCTCTGTCAAATAAATAATAAAATAAAAAATCTTTAAAAAAAAAACACTAGAAAAATGCACAGGTATTTCACAGAATAGGACATATGTGACCAAATAAGAAAATGATGCTCAATCCAATTATTAATTAAGGAAAGGCAAATTATGATCACAATGAGACCCCACTTTATATCCACTATATTGGCAAAAATCAAACATTTGACAATACCAAGGTAGGAGGCATCATGGATCAATGGGGACTCTTATACATTAATGACGGGTGTGTAAGTTTATATACCCATACTTTGGAAGACAATTGGCATTATCTTGGAGAAGTGAGCATTCCCCCAACAATTCCACGTCTAGGCATGTTTCCTAAAGGAACCTTGTACCTGCATAACAATGTTCGTAGGTGCACTATTTTTAAGTGCAAAAACTAGAAACAACTCAAGTGTTTCATAAACAGGAGACTGGATAAACTGTAGTATATTCACACAGTCAGATATTATACAGCAGTGAAAATGAATAAACTATAGCTAATCATATAACAACATGGACAAACCTTAGAAATAAAATGGTGACTTTAGATTTTAGGTCCCCAGGAATACAACATGCAGGTCAAAATAAAGAAAACTAAGTAATAAAATGATTATGAAAATAGATGTATTTAATAAAACACAAAGGAATGATAAAAACATAATTCAGGAGAACAGTTAACTCTGTTGGGGGGGAAGAAGTAGAGTGGCAGAGGGGAGAACATAGGTAGATAAAAGTTACCAATACAACTCTGGTGCTTGGGTTCTTATTTATTATCTCACTATGTGCTATAACATTATATCATATATATTCTTTCACATGTATCATAATTTAGTTTAAAAAGTAATATAAAAGGGCGCCTGGGTGGCTCAGTTGGTTAAGCGACTGCCTTCGGCTCAGGTCATGATCCTGGAGTCCCGGGATCGAGTCCCGCATCGGGCTCCCTGCTCCGCAGGGAGCCTGCTTCTCCCTCTGACCCTCCCCCCTCTCATGTGCTCTCTGTCTCTCTCATTCTCTCTGTCTCAGATAAATAAATAAAATCTTAAAAAAAAAAAAAGTAATATAAAAAACACCTTTGCCTATTTATGGCAGAACTGGAGCTAGAAGTCAGGTCCTGGCCCTATTCTTTCCATTAGGCTTACAACATAAATCTAATCATGTCAATGTCTCGCATTAAATTCTCTAATACTGCCACAGCACCTGTGGAAAAAAAGACCAAATTCTCAGGCATGATATTCAAGGGCATTCATAATTTGTATTCCTTCAGTTGCTTCTCCTACCATTCTCATGTATGTACACATTCTACACCATATTCAATTTTTTCAGTCTCCTGAATGCAAAATGATGTTTTTGTATTTTTGTGTATATGTCATTCCCTTTGTCTAAAATGCCCAACCCTTAGCCCTTTATCCATCAAGATTTCAACAGAAACAGTTAATCCATCCAGGGACTCTAGGTAGAGCAGGGTTGTGTCTCCTCAATGCTACCACTGTATCCAAAACTTATTGAATTTTTTTACCTGCTTACCCGCCTGCCTCCCACAACAGATGTCCACTGTCTTCTCAATATTTGTTTTCCCCTTCTCTCAATATTAACAAACTCAATCCTGTTCAGTGTGGCACGTGTCCAGCTAAAAACAATTTCCTAGCTTTATTTATAGCCAGAGTGGTCAGGTGAACCATTCTGGCCAAAGAAAGGAAAACTGCAATCTCCTAGGTGGAAATTCCAAGAAAGCTATTATTATTATTATACTTATTTTTTAATGAAAGAGCCAGACTCAGTGGGCATATACATATTGCCCTTTATCCTTTGTCTTGCCTGCAATATATATGGGATGTCTCGGGACCTAGCGGCTATCTTACAAGTATGAGGGTGAAAGTGATGGAGGAAGAAAACAGAATGAGTCTGAGTCCTTACAGGCATTGTGAAGTTTTTGTAACAGCTTTGGACTACCCATTTCTGGACTTGAACCTGTAAAAAGTAAACCCACTATTTGTTTTCAGATTCTATCTGGGTTTCTGTTTCATGTGGTGAAACACAACCCTAACTAACAGCCATTGTGATCAACTGGAAGGTAGAGATATTGCTTTATTCTCCTTCATATCCTCCAGTCTAGGACACCACCTGTCCAGGAACAGGTGTTCAACAAATATTTCTGAATAAATGGACAAATCACAAAAGCTTTAAAGTATTCTATGTATTTTGAAAATATTTCAATTTGAATAATTGATTCAAAGATACACAAAAGTTGTAAGAACCCAAACCAAACCCTTTTGAACCATTTGTATTAATTGTTAATTATATCCAAGAAGTAAAGGGAGACATCTGAAAATGTTCTAAGTAATTAGTATAATTAAAATCTTAACATAGGATTTGACAGCACATGCAATTTCTAAAAAAAAAAAAAGTAACTGTTAAATGGTGCCAGTTTCTGAAACACCTAATATGTTCTAAAATGTTAAAAATAAAAATCAAGATTTAGTGATTATTACCACTAATCCATCCTGCTTTAAAGATTTGCTTGCAAGTATACAGAACCTTTTATTTTATTTATTTATTTTTTTTAAAGATTTTATTTATTTATTTGACAGAGAGAGACACAGCGAGAGCAGGAACACAAGCAGGGGGAGTGGGAGAGGGAGAAGCAGGCTTCCCGCGGAGCAGGGAGCCCGATGTGGGACTCGATCCCAGGACCCTGGGATCATGACCTGAGCCGAAGGCAGACGCTTAACGACTGAGCCACCCAGGCGCCCCCAGAACCTTTTAAAACACACTGAAATACACAGGCATAGGATTTATTTTGAAAAGTTCAACACATACATTAAAAAATTCTTTTGCTAGCATTTCTGGGAATCAATAACTTTATGATGAATTCAGCAAATTTTTTAGCACTAGAACTTTAAAGCAGATAATTATAAATGGTTTTCTCTTCAAAATTATTGCCTGAATTTCTTCAACTGAAGAATGAGAATAAAAATCTTGAGCCATTCTCATACTGTTGCTGGGAGGACTGAATGAGGCAGTAAATGATGCTGCACTCACAGACACACTGAGTACAGTTCAGGCAATACCTCTAATCGGAAAAAAGCAGTCACTTTAAACATTTTATCAATGTAGTCAAAATGAAGGGAGAAAGCTGGCTAATTTCTAAAACAAATTACAATATAATGCCATTTTTATCATTTGGACTGCCTCCCCAACAAAAAGAGACCATCCTTCCCTACCATGTCCTCCCAAGGCTTCCTACAGTCAATCTTCAAGAATGTTATGTCACTTCACTTTTTATGATTAATTATACAGTCAACCTTCAAGTGTTTTATTTTAGCAGCAGTAAAACATTCAGAGCTATTTCTCTGTAAAATGAGGCGAAACAGTATGTTTTCACATTGTTAAGGGGATTCTTAACCTCAGCATTCATAAGATAAGAGAAACACAATTTCCAATACATTACATTTGAGGGTTTTATCTGAGGTTTAGAGCTGGTTTAGCTTAATCCCATCAAATGATAAAATGTTTTAAAACCTAAAGGCAATGATTTATAGCAAACATGGGTTGTTTCTTGAGGAAATAACTTGGTTTATCTGGAAACTGGTATTTCACATATACAGAGGCTATAAATATGTGCAGAGCCCCAAATACTCCCTATGGTGCAATAAGGAGCCAGAAGGGGTAGGGGCTGAAGTAGGACATGCAGAGAACACTGAATCTGTTTATTTCATGATTTTGAAGGAATTAAGAAATCCCTTTTTAAAATTTTCATATAGCACAGAATTGAAATATATGATACTTACTATGTGATCTGGGAAGGAATAACAGAAATTTTTCCAAATCTGATTTTAAACCTTAGGCTCAAATATGAACACTCTGAAAACAGATTTTGAATTGTGCCTCAATAATTCCTTTTATAGTTTTTTCTACTGTTCTCACTCATGTTCTTTCATTTGATCCTTTCAATTACCATATATGGTAATTATAAAGAGAGCGGCTCAGAAAAAATCTTCAAACTGAGGAATAAGTTGGTGCTGTAACCATCCAAGGTAATATTGGCAGGTAGTACTCCAAACAGCAGGGCCTTAGGGTTCCATTTCTCTATTAAACATCAGCAAAAGGTTCTTCCAGGTCTTATGCTCTGTAGTTTCTCTCTCTCCCTCCCACATTCCTCCTCCCCACTGTCTCTCTCTCTCTCACACACACACATACACGTACACACACACACACTTTCTCTGTCTGTATCTTTCTGCCTATCTTTCTCACATACAAACACAGAAACATACATGATAGAATGACAATCTTACTAACAGGTATGTTGACCTCAGAGGTATGAACTATGCATATTAAACTAAATCTAGTATTGTCACTAACTTTAGTTTGGGATTACTTACTACAAGTTAAACTCCAGAAAGTGTCATAAACTTTCTCTTCTAGGGGAAGTGCATTTTTAACAACAGCCTGAGAAAAGCTCTATTTTGGCAACCACCTAAAACCAACCGGGTAGCTCTCTTGCCTTCTAATCATACATGGTACACATACAAGGCCATCAAGAGCTAGAAATATATCTAATGTTTTTAGAGAAACTACTGGAAAAGCCTGAAGAACTGAGTAAGGTGCAAGTAAACAAGAGAGGTAACATGAGTTTCTGTTCTTCATATTACTAGTTGTGCTACTTGGGCAAGCAAAGCAACTCTTTTAAACCATTTTATTAGGAACTGAACTTTTCACTCTAAGAGAGTACAAAGATAAAACAAAAGAAAATCCCTGTAATATTAAATCTTGGAATTGGAACTATCCATGTGAACTCATGATATATATCTATTTTTCTTGGCTCTATCCACTGAAGCAATGACATCCAAGTTGTAATAAATTTACCAGATCTTGGTTTCCAATACCACTCCCCACTAAAAAGAACCACAGCTCCTTTGCATAATCATTGGCTCTATGTCTGGGGCAGGAAAAAAGTACACGTGAACTTGGGACATCCTGTTGTACCAGAAAGACTAATGAGGCCATGCCACAGAGGACTTGAAGGGCTCCCACTGGCAAAATTTGAGACAATTTAGACATCAAAAAGAATACAATCACAGCATATTACATATGATGAACTAAAAGGAAATCTATAAACCCATAGTGACCTCAAAAAGGGGCAGGAGAAAAGAAAAAGGGGGGGAGAGGGGAGAAGAGCTCTTTACATAAGAATGCCAGCTAACAAATATAAAAGAAATAATAATTTAAAATGTCATCATTTTGCAATCCTCAATGTATTTGCTGATTTAGGCAAATCATCAATAAATACTAAAACCACTCAGTGAAAAGCAGCTGGGAAATAGATAGTTCACAGTCTCAAAGCATCACCCCAAAGATTACTACTCATTTCAAAGAAGAAATGAACTTTTATAATAGAGAGATCTGGCAATCACCACTTTAATCAAATAATTAAAGTTATTACCAGTAATGAAACTTACATTATATGCCTCCTGATTTGATGCAGTAAGTATACAACTTTACCTATGAACAGGGTAATCATATAATTTATCAGCTAAACAGCTACATTTCTCTTTTTTTTTTTAAGATTTTATCTATTTATTTGAGAGAGAGAGAATGAGAATGAGAGAGCACATGAGAGAGGGGAGGGTAAGAGGGCGAAGCAGATTCCCTGCTGAGCAGGGAGCCCGATGCGGGACTCGATCCAGGGACTCCAGGATCATGACCTGAGCCGAAGGCAGTCGCTTAACCAACTGAGCCACCCAGGCGCCCTAAACAGCTACATTTCTAAGACTGAAAGGGAATGCTATTAATAATTATACCAAAACAATAGCTGTAAACTGGAATTGTCATGGACAACCCTAGATTGATCCTTATCTCTAAGTATCCTTACAAAAACACTAAACTGAATCAAATCATGATGAAGCATTCAGACAATTGATCTGTCCTCTTCAACAAGTCTAAGTCAAGAAAACAAAAACAGGGGGCTGCTCTACATTAAGAGACTGAAGGGATATAATAACTACATAGAATGTGAGCTTACATGCTGAATCAGAAGAAAAAAGCTACAAAAGATATTTTTGGAACAATTAGGGAAATGTAAATATGGACTGTATTAGATATTAGAACTTCTGTTAATTTTCCCAGAGTGATAATGGCATTACGATTATGCAATTATTCTTAAAAGATGTACAGTTAGATATTTAAGGGTGAAGTATTGCAAAGCCTGCAACTTACTTTCAAGTGGTTCAACCAAAAATGTATATAATATCTAAGTATACACATACATGTAACAGAGAAATAAAACAAATGTGGCAAAATGTACGAGTATATGATGCAATTCTTCCAATATATCTGCATGTTTGAAGTATTTGAAATGAAAGTTGGGGGAAGGAACAATCCACAAAAATTTTATTTTTTTACCTTGAAGTCTCTCATCAGTGAATATTTTGTTTGTTTGGTTCCAGGTGCTATCTATAAATATAATTTTTTTCAGTGTTGTGTCTTGGCCGTTGCTGTCATTCAAATCCTGTTCTTCAGTTTTCTTGCGTTTAATAAATGGCTTGTCAGGGTCATCATTTTTGCCTTTAACATTATTTTGAATCCTTTTTTGCAGATGAAAAGAAATGTCTTTTACTGAGACAGACTTAGGTCCAGGAAAAACAAGTGCAACCTAAAGCAAAGAAACTTAAGTTAGTAGTGCGCTGTTATGGTCTTCAAAATGAATAAATTCTGACACTCTCAAAACTTTAAGAGAAACAAACATGTTGAATACTTGAGAAACAAGCATTAGGTTCTATAACAAGCACTTCAGCCATTTGAAAGTTTATATGTTTCTTTAATAAGTATGGTAAAGTTTTTGGCTCTTCCCTAGGATTTAAAAATCATAATATACTAGCTAGAAGTATTGCTTCAAAATAAGTTATTCACCTCTTGATAGAAGCCAAGTTAGTTGTATCGTGAATCAAAAAACTAAATACTGTAATATTTCACAGCATAAAAGACAACGTATGTGATACCAGGTAAAAGAACCAATGAAAAGCACTCAATAATTAAATACAATTTTCACCTATATAATAAGCAGAGATAAAACAAATAATACAGTCAATGCTGGTGAGGATATGGTGTTATGGGCCTTTATAGCCATTACTGATACCAGGTTTCAATAGTATAACTCTTCATGAAAGCAGTTTGGCACTTTAAATTAAGAGCCCTGAAATATTCAGACCCTTTGGCTATTTCACTTTTAGGAATTTATCTTAATAAAATAATTGTAAATATAACTCACAATACCAGACTATCTGTTAAAGTATATTTATTACAGTTAAAAATTAAAACTGAAAAATCTTTCAAGGAAAAATTCTGTAAATTATGCTACCTTTCTTTCAGCATGTTTTTACTGAGACCTTACACACTGTTAGAGGCTGCAACGTCTGAACAGCTCCTGCCACAAAGCAGGTGCCCAATTAGTATTTGTTAAATGAACAAATGTTGGCTAAATCATGGGTATTTTACCTCCCATACTTTTCTGTATTTCCCAAATTTTCTTTAATGAGCACATATCATTTTTAATATGAAAAAATAAGCAGTATAAAAATAAAAGAACAAATCTTGAATTTAAAAACTTCAGAGTTATAAAAGTTTCTCAAACATTTACAGTGTGTGCCTATATTTCCCCTATGCCCAATCAGCAAAGTTCAGGACTTCGTAATTTTCTTGGACTGTAAGCATACCACATCTCTTTGTAGAACCTAGCACCGTATTCTATTCAATTGACATAAATGATACCTTGCTGACCAGAGAGGGAAACACAAATATATTCCTAGATCCAAAACTCAGAAATCACTTACAAACAACTTTCTATATAAACTCAACCAAAAAATAAATACATATATATTGATGGGAAAGGAAAAACTAAGTTCTGCCTAGAACAAATGAACATATTAATTTTTAATTATGTTTCCAGATTAATCACACCAACAAATGGTCTCCAAGAAACCTAGAAGGGTTTACATACTTTTTTTAGAAATACCCAAGGCCTTGTTTCTTTTTGAGATCTATTACTTTTCAACAAGAGCAGTAATATCTCACCAATTTCAACTAGGTGAAAACCAATTTAGAATCTAGAAATGATCAAAGGAAGGCCTCTGAGCAGCCACAAGATGTTACAAAGGCTATGTATTAAAGCTCTTAATTCAGGGAGAATTCTTGAAAATCCTTCTAATTCAGACTTTTTCTTCTTTCAGAGAAATTCCAACAATGTTTGTAATATGGTTTCTTAGTTTGTATAAAATTAGACCATCTATATGTAGTATCGGGAGGAAAATGGAGAGGAGAGAAGTAAAGCAGACACAGTAATACTGGCAAAGAGTAAAAACCTGAAGATATAATGCAGAACAACTATAAAAAGTGGAAAGACAAAATTCAAAAAAGCCTTAACAATCTAAGATCATTTGATCTTTGAAGATACCAATGAAGTAAATAAATTGTATATTGTTTAGTGCTACATAAAGATAACCCTAGGTCACTAAGAAAAATATTCAATTATGTTCAAGTAAATTCAGAAAGGTGATGGAATTTAAAATTCTTTTTTAGATTCAATGTGAAAAGTTGTAAAAAAATAAGTTGCCTACTTCATGGTCCTTTTCTTCATATTCTGGAATACAAGGATATGTGTAAATATTTACAGATTCAGGTGCTAATAGTTTTGCATGTATAGCAGTACTTTTGCCATCTGTTTCATTTGGATGTTTAATGATATCAATCTTCAGTGGAAGCTGAAATTTAAAAAAAAAAGACAAATGAACACAATATAAAAATTCTAATTTTTATGTTAAGAAAAATGACCTTCAAAGCTTAAATAACAAGCTCACACTAAGTTCCTATAAATATGATTTGAAAGGCATACTTTTCTAAACCAGAATATTAGGAATGCTAAGAGTCATAAAGCAAACCTAAATTTCTTCCTCAATATTGTTAATCATGTAATAGAATAATTATTTCCAACTTATTTAACATAAAATCTGTTCTTAAAGCAAAGCTTCAAGGCCATTTTCATTTACGCTACATAGGCATTAAGTCCAATTCCTTGCATTTCAGTATCTGTGTCAAGAACATTTTTTATAATTCCTATAAACTTTAGGATTGTTAATTTTATGACACAATAAAAGGAAATATAAGTTTGGGCAAAAGCTTCACATCTAAAATTCAAGTCAAAATTTTATTCCCTATACATCCTTTGAGATCAAAGGTATTACCCTTCAAAGGGTTCACTCTTTGTTGTGAACATCATGATTCTCATCAGTGGCCTTTAACAGCACAAATGAAATTATCAATTGGAAAAGTAACAGAATAGGTCTAGGAGGTACACACTTTATATAAAAATCAACTCTCTTTAAAATCATTTTGTCTATTTTCCTTAAAGTTTCATTATTTAATTGTTATGAATTACATCCTGCCTCTTTGCAAAAAATAATATTCTCTTGTATTTTTTGAGTTAGATTTTTCTATTATTTCACTGACTTAAGTTTGATTTAGTTTCCTGTGTAACACTTGTGCAAGTGCTGTAGTCAGTCATGATTATGAAAATGAAAGCTGAGTCACATCCCCCCCAAAATATATATGAGAAACTGAGATGGATTCTTCACTGCAGATTATAAATGACTTACATATTATTACAAACTCTTCCAGCTCCCACCCAACCCATTAACAGGCAGGATTCTAGGTATTTACCCTGGGGCAAGCTAAATTTATCCTGGAGTACAAAACTATTTTTCTTTTTTTAAAACAGCTTAAATAGGTAAAATTGGTATAATAAACTCCACATATTTCAAGTGTACAATATAATGAATTTTAACACCCTTGAATTCATCACCATAATCAAGATCATGAACATATCTGTCACCTCCAAAAGCCTTCTTGTGCCTCCATCCTTCCCCTTTCCCCATCAACTACCACCCGCAGTCCTTAGGTAATGATTGATCTGTTATCACTATAGGTTGGTTTGCATTTTCTAGGATTTTATATAAATGAAATAATATGGTATGTACTCTTTTCATCTGACAACTTTCACTTGGAATAATTATTCTGAGATCCAACCATATTGTTGTATCATTACTTCCAGAGCTGTTTTTTAAAGGAGTAGTTGCTGCATGCTACTGAATGATCCCAGCTGCACATACTTTATCTTTCTGGATGATTGTGTGGAAAAAGGATGGTATATATCCCAGAAGGGCCATAAAAATGTATCCCAAATAGTTTTCACTTTAGGGTTCCAAACCCCTTATCTCCTTCCCTCCCCACTTAGGCCTAGTGACCAATTAGGGCCAACTGCTTTAAATCATCAAACCAACTTCTAGTTATAGAAAATTTACCATTGAAGTAGGCAGTTCACAAATGATTTTACATCAGTCTACTTCTGGCTGAACTCTACATCAGAATTTCCTCATGATGCTCAGTCTCGACACTACATTCCCTTTCCCCAGGGTCTCTCAGTCCCAGATCAGCATTATCTTAGCCCAGGGAAGATAGGAAAGAAGAAAAAGAAAGCACATCATGATATAGTATTCTATTACTAATAAAACTGACTTTCCTACAGGGCTAATGAGTAGAACTGAAAATTCCAAAGGTGACCATCAACATTTCTCACCAGCTGGCTATGTCTGAAGGGTATCATTTATATCAAGGACACAGGACTGAGTGTTATTCATGTATTTAAATGTCACATACATTGCCTATTATGGACTAAATCCTATAGGTATAAGACAATTATGCAAAATTTGTGCTCAAGAAGTATTCTTAGGACCTAGTCTAGCTACTTTAGTTCTCCCTGAGCAAGCCTGAAATTTCTGACACTGAAACAAAAGCACAGACACAGACCAAATCATGGAAACATATGCTTGTGCTCTAGTTCACACATTTTAAAGGAAGATATTTCCTAAATAATGACAGGGTACAGAGTAACACCAGAAAGTAGAGCTATTCTGTTTTCAAACATGAAGAACATCAATCTGTTCTCTAACACTTATATTTCCTATAGGAGATTTACCAAACCTTTCTGCCAAATTTATCAAAATGCCATTAGCAGGAAGTCCTAAGTCTTTTCCTATGTGATCATTAACTTTCCCAAAGAGAGTCTTTTAAATTCTAGGACTCTAAAAAAGAGGAAGCTTTCTTCGACCTCATGATTTTTTTTGCTCCTCTTTTAAAAATACCAAGAGCATCTTTTACTTTTACTCATGCATTTCTCATGACATTAAAAAAAAAATCATATTCTGCATGAAAAAATTAGTATTTATGAATTTATTCTGTAGATTAAAATTTAAAGCTTGGGAGGCACTTACTCATTATGTAGTCGTCTTCCCTTCCCAAGCAGGCTATCTAAAAGCAAACGCTGAATGATTTGTAAAAATAAAGTAAAAATTAGAAAAAAACTTTATAGAGCTTTTATTACTATTAATATATATTAACACACTGAGTTTCATATATGGCCATTAAAATATAAACACTTTTAAAAACTCTGCATGCTCCGGTAGGCCATTTAGAGTTGATCAAACACTTGGCATAGTGTTTTAAGTCACTTCTATTAAATAGTGGACATTAGATCACTGATTTGGAAAATAATCCTCTATTATTAAATTTCTGTGAAAATAAAATATGTTACTGACTTTTATTATTCTGATCTTCAAACCTTTTGAACACAATACATCTTAAGATAAAACTTTTAAAGGGATATTCTCTTTTTGTGGCTATGATATGAACAGAACATAGAATAATTCTGTTTATACTTCAAAAACTATACTTTGAAATGTAACATTCTTACAAGATAATAGGAAACTTAAAGAAGATTATTTTCCTCAAGCTCTCAGTTTTTCTAAGGTAACTATGAAGCTGATTAGAGTCCATACTTATTTCTCTTGTCCAGTAAACTTTCCAATAGCTTGTGTGATTTTAGACCCCTGAGGAGACCCTGGACTTGCCAAGATGACATATAAGCTAAACTGAAATTCAAGTAACAAAATATAAGTATTAAGGTATTTTACTTCAAATGTAAATGAATCTTAAAATCACCACATTAAATATTTTTAAATATAGTTTTAGCTTATTTTCTTACTAGCAAGTTCTAATGTGTCCATGTGTAGAGTTTAGTCTCTCCAAAGTCCTAACAGGCAGCAAATTTTATACATTATTTGATTTACTCCTAAAGTTCGTGTCAATGTTAGACAAGTTGACATATATGTAATAAATTCTTTGATTACATAGACATCATGGTTTACAGACCTTTTACCTACACAAGAGTAGTCTTGGTAAGCAACAAAACATGTAAGGTAAGCAATCAATGCAAGTCAATTTTTTAAAATCTGGCTTAAATCACTAAAATTATATCCCAATGAGTAGGTCTTAGTTGTTTGTTTGTTTTTTTAAATAGGCTCCATGCCCAGTGTGGAGCCCAATGTGGGGCTTGAGCTCACAACCCTGCAATTGAAACTTGAGCTGAAATCAAGAGTCAGACACCCAACCGACTGAGCCACTGGGCAACCCCAGGTCTTAGTATTTTTAATTTTAGTTTAGTTTTGGTCACTGACATGAGCTCCATCTCCATGTAGGATGGGACTAAGCCTGTTCTACAAAAGCCCAAGCAAAAATCAATCCTAGTTCCTTTAGGATATGTTTTCTTAAAAAGAAGTCCAAGGTCCTGAGATAGTTTTTGAAGTTCCTTCAGGCAATCTATACACTTGTCTCTTGTAGTATTCATGTTTATGCCACATCTATGTTTTAGATGAATTATAATCATTAATGAAAAAGTAATTGATTTCTTTCAAAACAATACCATTCATCTCAGACCCAAGTGTTTTAGCAGTGTGTGTCTTTTTCCAGAGACAAGAAAAACAAATAGGTTTACCAGTCTATAAGATTAAATTTTCTATTAATATTATTCATTTCCATAATGATGCTACTTATCATGCTTATCAATTATATTACAGCAGGTATATATGAGATGTCTTTTTAAAACCTCTTCTCCTACTTTCAGATAATTAAATTTCTTACCAACCTTCACAAGTGGCATCTGTTGAATAGGTACATTTTCAACTGGGACATAACACGTATAGCAATAGAACATTCTTGAACCACCACATTTGAGACATTTTGATCTTCCACTTTGCTGAGCTTTATGAAGAACTTCTTGAGATGCTAAGCGTAAGTTTTGAAGAGGATCTTCTGCAGCTATGGAAGCAGTTTGTGAGTGTTGTATTTCTACAAATTTTGAATTATTTTCTTCCTTTTCTTTGAGAAATACAGGTGGGTTGACAGACATTTTTCATTCAAACCAAAGTTTAACATCTATTTCTAAAACATAAATCATAGGTGCACTGCAAAAGAAAAAAAAAAAGTGGGGAAGGGGTGGAATAAAGACAGGAAATATTTTATTCCTTGTCTCCACAAAGAAAATTACTCAATTTAATTCACAACTGCATACTGTTTTTAGTATTTATTAACAAGTATTAATAAGCTTTTTAAACCACCAAATTAGCACAATTTAAAATACAAAATTAAGAAGCAATAAACTCAAAACAATAAATTACCCTTCTGAGTCATCCCCTCCATAAAAATAAAAGGTGCTCTCTTAGAAAAACTATTTCAAATATAAAATTTAGGTACCAACAATCCATTTTTCAGTGACTCTTACTTTGTTTTATATTAGGAATACAATGTTTTAATGTTAGTATCAGCCAGGAATGTATTCAACTCTGTAGGTTCTGACTTTAAACTGATGTTATATGACATCAAATCTCAACCTGAATCCTAATGAAAGTACAAGGTTCTAGTGAAATCAGTAAAATCTAGTTGGTTATGTTCTAAAAGACATATTCTTCTCTAACTTAAATCACACGCACAAAAATATAACTAAACATCCATTAAAACAGGACAGGCATCTACTACTACCAATTACAATTTGTAAAATATCCCAAAAAGGTGAAATATATGCCCAGAAAAATAAAGTGTGATCTTATAAATTTAAAAATTTTACAGAGCAATGTTAATGTCCTCTCACTCAAAGATTTCATACCACTTTTTAAAAATATAATTCATTTAGAGTCTTCAGTTCTAGAGATAAAATAGTAAAATAACTTTCCCACTTATATATTTTCTTCCAGGAAGAATGATGTCTGTCTAAACTGTTATTTGAATACTCTGTAAGCACAGTATCTTTTGAGGGAGAAAAGAGACTGGGGCCCTTTTGATTTGATATCCATTCCAGAGCTGTAAAATGAGTCTCTCATTATAAAGCTTATGGCATTGTGGTGTTTAACTATGAGGCCCGGGCACTTTGAGTACAAACACTGACAGGAGAAATGCTGTCACTGCAACAGGAAACTTTTTCTTTTTCTTTTTTAAATTTTTTTAAAAGATTTTATTTATTTATTTGAGAGAGAGAATGAGATAGAGAGAGCATGAGAGGGGGGAGGGTCAGAGGGAGAAGCAGACTCCCTGCTGAGCAGGGAGCCCGATGCAGGACTCGTCCCGGGACTCCAGGATCATGACCTGAGCCGAAGGCAGTCGCTTAACCAACTGAGCCACCCAGGCGCCCAACAGGAAACTTTTTCGTGGTATCCCAAATAGAAAGTGAACAAAAAGTCCAGTGGAACATAATATACAACATAATTTACCAACAGGAAGTTAGTGATACTAATTTAATTACTCATCAAGAGTTTTTTAATAGATTGTAAACCCCAGTAAGCTTGAGACCCAAATAAAAAGATGCAAAGAAAAAAAATGCTTGTCACTGAAGGAAAAAATAAAACATACTGGCCAAATTTATTCAAAGTAAATTTACCAAGCTGTCACCTTTTCTTGAGTCTCAGATCCTTCTAAGATCACGTAAGTCTTGGACCTTATCTGCAGAAAATGCATACACAGACACAATATTTTGTACACAATTTCGGATGGTTTGCAGATCTGTAAGCATCCATCTACAGATCTAGGTAAAGAAATCCCGACTAAGGTCAAACAGTCAATCTAAGGACAGGAGCAGTTTTAAAAGTCTGGGAAGAGATCCTATTAGTCTCCAGAAATCAGAGCTACAAACCCCCTGCTGGGCAATCAGAGGTCAGCTGTCACAAGCCAATCGAGGTCTCATTACTGCACTTAGGAAGGTAGTTAATTTGCACCCAAGTCTTGGTTTGGGTTTGCTCTGGTGTTGCCTGAGGTCCTTACAGAGAAATATTTTTAGGTTGTGATAGTCTTGAGTTATCCCATCATGGGACTCATCCTAAAAAAGAAACTGGACTGGACTAATTCAACCTGACTCCATTTTCCTGGGTGTTCTAATAGTTATTTAGGGGGGTTGCATATGCCACCAAAGGCCTCAGGCAATAATGGGGCTGAAGGACACAGTTCCTGGGGATGTCATGAAAGTCAATGTGTTTCCTAACATTCAATGGAAAACTACTGATGAGTTTTTCTAGGGCCCTCCAAGTGCATTCTGCCTCTGAAATATTCCCCTATATTTCACTTGGCCTTCCATCCATAAAGCCAAACGGACATTAGTGAAGCCTTATATAAATGTTCTTCCTCTACAAAAATCAAATGTAAACACCTATGAGGCAGTGAAAGGGAAATGTTTATGGCTCCTTTCCCTGCCTCACCTATACACTCTCCAATGGATGTGGTGGCCACACACAGAAGAGGCCAGAAATAGTAAGTCATAGACAGCTCCCCCCAAAGGTCTCTGACACCGTATGACAAGGGCATCTGTCCTGACCTAGCCAATAGCCTGCCTCAAATGTGTACAAATAGTTTGTTGCAAACGATGGTTCACAACCTTCAAACCATACTTAACATCAAATTTGTGCAGGGAATACAAGTGGAGTTGTGGGAGTTACTTAGAAAACATAAAAAGAATGTATTCCTAAAGAACTAATAAATATTTTTACCTTGATGAGACATTCATCACTCTGCAACTTAGGTTGAAAACTAATTTTTTACTCCCCCTCTACCCTCTTTTCCCAAAAAACCAATTACTCACCAAGTTCCATCAATTCTACCTTGCATATAATCCTCTATTTTTAGTCTCAAAGTCAGGACTTTACATGATCTATGACAATCTCTTACATCTTTTTATGTTTGCCCACTTATTATTGGCTCCACATATTTAGCCTGGAAAAATCTGCTTTAGTCTGGAGTTGCCTTTTAGTGAAGCTATCCCTCCTAGCAATCAACTCTGCAAGAGCAGAATTCTTTACTGATCTCACATATCTCTCCCTGTGTCTTATGCAGCAGGAGGAATTCAACAACCACTTCTTAAATCAAAACCATTCTGAAAAAGAAAGCATATGTATGCATCTCCCTACTGAAGGACCTGACAAACCACCTTGATGGGCCATCTGCAGCCTGGCACGAGTGGCAACATGGCGGGTTGTTTTTTGTTTTTTTTTTTTTTTTCAAAACAATGATGTTTTAAAAACTCCGAGGTGTAAGTCACCTCCCAATGGAATACTATAACAACTCCCCTACCATGTATTGTAGACCAATTCAGTACTAGATAAAACCCACTTCAAATTTTTTTTTTCAAGTATTTTTAAGAACCTGGTCAGGTCACATAATATACACAGGTCCAACATTCATTTTTTTAAATCCAACGTGCCACCTTTTTCAAACAGGACCAACGGCCCCTCCCACATCACCCATCATTTGGTAGGCAGACTGTCTTGCCTTAGTTTTTCATGGTACACTAGGGTTTAGGCAGAAATAATCCTTAAACGCTGTGGTTTTCACTCAAGCAGAGATTTTATCATCCAACTCCGTGAATTGGCATCTTAAACTATTAATATACTTCTTTACTTGTCCTACATTCCCAAGAAACAGTTTAGATATAAGAAACAGACTCCTTGGCTTATTATGTAACCACTATCTTAATATTTTAAATACACTGCATGGCGGTACTAAGCTTCTCGTTCTGTGATTACCAATTCCCCGCAAACCACTCCAAACACTAAAAAATATAGTTCCTAGGGGACTACCTGCCAGAACAGACTTTCCTTAGGGCGGAAACCACTGAAAATGATTGTTAGGGCAAAAAAAAAAAAAAAAAAAAGTTTTCTGAGGAAAAATTTGGAAGCCTTTTCCCCAAAGGGCACGCAGGACCCTAAAAACTGCAAGCGTTCGAGCCCAGGGACCTGGGCCCCGCTCGCAGGCGACACCCTGCACGACCTCCACTAGGGCCCGGCCAAGCAGCGTCCTCTCCCTGCAGTCGCACGTCTCCCGCCAGACCACTGGTCCGCAGAGGGGCTCGGAGACCCGCACCAGGGATCGGAGTGGGACTCAGACCTGCACTGCCCGCGGGTCCTCGCACAGCTCCACGCGTCTTCCGCTCCGCCCGAGCCCGAGGCGCGCGCCCGGCCGAGGTCGCGCTCGGGCGCGGCGGAGCGCTTTCCGGGAGACACAGGAGGGAGGAGCCCGGCCGTTGCTAGGGCCGTTGCTAGGGCCTGGCGCCGCGCAGGTCCCGCGACGAAAGTAACGGGCGGGGAGGGACGCGGGGCGTGGTTAGAGGGGGAAGTCCCGCCTCAGCCTTTTGGCGGCGGGTGGTGTCGCCGCCGTCCTGGGAGACGTGATCCGAGAGCGAGGCCCGATCGGTGAGACTGGGCCTCACGGCCCGCCATCCCTGGGCAGAGTTCCCTTCTGACCCTGGCGGAGGCCCCCTTAAATGGGGCGCGGCTCTGGAAGTATACTCTCAAGGTGTGGTTGCAGTGAGGGGTGAACGATGCCGATCCTACAGAACACTTTTCCATTTTTCCTATTCCAGAACCATTTTAGTCGTGAGAACTTGGTTCTTTTATTTTTTTATGGCTATGTTAAGATGAGTACTAGTAGTAATGGAAGCTATCAGAAAAACTGTGTGCATCTTGATGCTTTGGTTTGCTTGAAAGCTACACACACGTCGAGTTGCAACTACTTTGTGCACTTTTCCATTTTGGAATTAAGCATAGTATGTGGGTAGATTGTAAAACCACTTTTCCTTGCCCCGCCCCAAGGAAAATCCAAACCTAGGGAGTGCACTTCAAAACTGTGAGATTCAGAAACACAACGGCATTGTATTTATTGAGTGCTTTGAATTTAGCATGTGGGGACCGAAGCTTGCCCTAGAGGAGCTTAGGACATCAAGTTAAAATGGGTAGTACAGAAAACACAACATGACCAATAAATTGTAGGAATTTCACAAGAGCTCAGAATGGAGGGGTCAATGAAGGCTTATTGGTTGGACTTGAGTAAGGTTTTGGAGAATGATTATGGCTTAGAGCAGTGCTTTTCAAGGGGATTGTGTGGGACCCATTGGTGGAGGTCCCTTTTGTAAGCAAGGAAATATATTGAGTCAAAACGCATTTAATTTTTTTTATTTTGTTAATTTTTTTACAATAAGCTCTAGGCCCAGTGTGGGGCTTAAACTCACAACCCTGAGATCGAAAGTTGCTAGCTCCACAGACTGAGCCCGTCAGGTGCCCCAAAACTACACACTTAAAAAAATGAATTAGTATAGTGTGAAAATGTCAGTGCATGGCACTTGGGAAGGTTAAGAATTAGTTCATGGAGCTTTTTGTTTTGTTTTGTTTTTAGATTTTATTTATTTATTTGTTTGTTTGACTGAGAGAGAGTCCAAGCAGGGGAGCAGTAGAGGGAGAGGGAGAAGCAGACTCACTGCTGAGTGGGGAGCCGGATGCGGGGCTTGATCCCAGGAGTTGGGGATCATGACCTGAGCTGAAGGCAGACGCTTAACCAGCTGAGCCACCCCGGCACCCCACTTCATGGAGTTTTAAATTACAGATGGTCCATGACTTAACATTGGTTTGACTTAAGATTTTTCAGCTTTATAATGGTGTGAAATCAATATGCATTCAGTAGAAACCATGCTTTGAGTTTTGACTTGGTATTTACCTGAACTAGTGATACGTGGTATGAAACTCTCTTGTGATAATGGGCAGCCACATCAGCCAGGCCATCACAAGAGTAAACAACCAGGGGACGCCTGGGTGGCTCAGTCGGTTAAACGTCTGCCTTCGGCTCAGGTCATGATCCCAGGGTCCTGGGATCTAGCCAGCATCAGGCTCTCTTAGCGAGAAGCCTGCTTCTCCCTCTCCCACTCCCCCTGCTTGTGTTCCCTCTCTCGCTATGTCTCTTTATCTGTCAAATAAATAAATAAAATCTAAAAAATAAAAAAAGAGTAAACAACCAATACACTTAGAACTATTCTCTACCCATACAATCATTCTGTTTGCCACTTTTAGTACAGTATTCAATTACATGAGATATTTAACATTTGATTATGAAATAGGCTTTGTGTTAGATGATTTTGCCCAGTGGTAGGCTAACATAAGTATTCTGAGCACATTTAAAGCAGATTAGGCTAACCTAATTCAGTAGGTTAAGTGTATTATATGCATTTTCAATTTAGGATGGGTATATGGAAACATAACCCCATCATAAGTCAAGGAAGATTGTGTGTGTGTGTGTGTGTGTTTGCACACATGCACGCGCACATCCTTGTGTCATGTTTATAAAATGTATTTCTTATTGTGTGTTTCTCCTTAAAAAGTTAGAAAGCCACTGCTTTAGGAAGAAAGATGAGCTTTCCGGGTAAGAAAAGTAGCCATATCTCCAAGCCAAGAATAAATAATTTACACCCTTTTCTTTTTTTAACAGCTTTAGTTCAGGTGCACAAATTACAAAAGCAAGTGATGCTACTTATTACTTGAAGTGAGGTGAGTATTGGCTTACTATTGCTATGTAAGAAGTTACTCCAAAATATGGCTTACAACAACCTTTTTATTGTGTTCATGAATTGTGTGTTCAGGAGGGCACAGAGGGGCTGCTTTTCTCTGATAATTCAGCTTGGAAGTCTACGAATGCTAGCAGAGATCATATGTGTAGCCTCTTCATGTGGCCTGAACTTCCTCACAGGATGGCAGCAGGGTAATTAGACTTCTTAGGGTAGGCCCAGTGCTCCAAAGCCAAGTGTTGCAATGAATAAGGTAGAAACTACGTGTTATTTTCTGACCTAGTCTCAAGGAGTAACACAGTATCGCTTCTCACACATTCTTTTGGTTATAAGTATATTTTAAAGCCTGTTCAGATTATAGAAGGGGGGACATAGATAGATGACACTTCTCAAAAGATTATCAAAGAATTTGTGACCATTTTTTAAAAACCACCATAATGAATTTACTGCTGTCACAGACAACGCCAACATTTCAGTAGTTTAATACAATAAACTTTTATTTCTCATAGGAAATCCATGAGGTTGTTAGTAGTCAGATGAAACATTAGATTTGAGGATGCAGGTTGTTTGTTTTTTGGATTTGGGGTTCTTTTTTACAGTTTTAGTGGTTCTACTGTCTCCTAAGACTTGGATCCAACAGCTTATCTGACAAAAAAGAAAGCATGGAAAATCATACAAAAGCTTTCAGAGGTCATCCCTAAAAGTGACATATATCACTTTGCCCACATTCCAAAGGCTCCCGCTTTAGCTGCAAGCAAGCCTGGGAAGTGTAGAGAAACAAATACATATTGGTAAGCACCAACAGTTTGTCCTATTCTAGATTTTTCACCAAAACCCCATATTCCCCAGTTCCTCCATTCTATTCTCAGTTCTTTTTTCTTTAGAAATTTTTCCCAGTTTTCTCTATTATTTTTTCTGTGAGCCATATTTTACTTAGAAATGGATTATTTAGGGCACCTGTATGTCTCAGTGGGTTAAGCATCTGTCTTCGGCTCAGGTCATGATCTCAAAGTCCTGGGATGGGGTCCCACGTTGGGCTCCGGACTCCTTGCTCGGCAGGGAGCCTGCTTCTCCATCTCCCTCTGCCTACCATTCCCCCTGTGTGTGCTCTCTCTCTGTCAAATAAATAAATAAAATCTTAAAAAAAAGAAATAGATTATTTAATATTTAAGATTTTTCTAGATGTCCTTTTGTTGCTGTTTTCTCTTTTATTGCTCTTATTGTCAGAGAACATACTCTGAATGATTTCAATTATTTGTAACTTTTGAGATTTGTCTTATGGTACAGTGTAGGTTCATCTTGGTGAATGTTCTATGTTCCATTAGTTTAAAAGAGTGTGGATTCTGTACTTGTAAGGTATAGTTGTTCTGTAAATGTAAGTTAAGTTAAATTGATTGACTTAAGTATTGTTCAAATCTTTTATCTCCTTACTGATGTGTGTGTGTGTGTGTACATACTTGATTTATCAATTACTCAGGTGTGTTAAGATCTCTAACTGTAATTGTGGTTTTTGCCTATATTTCCCTTTAGTTTTATAAATTTGTGCTACATGTATTTCAAGGCTCTTTTATTAGATGCAAACACATTTAGCATTGGTATATCTTCTTAATGAATTGGCCTCTTATCACTATGAAATAACCTTATTTATGCCTGGTAATACTTCTTGTCTTGAAGTCTATCTTATCCAATATTAATGTTGACATAATAGTTTCTTATGATTAATAGGTGCATGGTTCTAGAATTTCCTTTTTTTTTTTAGAATTTCTATTTCTCTTGAAATATCCCATCTCTTCATGCACCATAATCTAACCTATATTGTAAAATCTTTAACATATTTATAACAGATGCTGTAAAGTCCTTGTCTGCAAGTTACAACTGGGTTCTCAGTGAATTGGTTTGTATCAGCTGTGCTTTCTCTTGATTATGGGTCCCATTTTACTTCTTGTTTGTATTCTTGTAACTGTTTTATTGTGTATTAGACATTATGTGGAAAAAGTGTAGAGGATGACGTGTAATTTAGTGTTGTTTAGTTTTCAGAAAGCACAAGCCTATTACTCTCCTTGGCATTCAAATTGAGATGTTGATCTTTTTATTCCTCCTAGGCTTGAGTTGAGCTTTAGGGTTGGCTTCAGCTTTAATTGGATTGAGTTCACCTCTGACTAACCCAACTTCCAACTTCCCTCATCATAGCCAACTCATATCTCATCAATATTGAATTAGGAGAAGTTGGGACTGAAGTTTTTTTTACATTTTTGCTTCACCTTTGGAGTCAACTCTGTCAGGGCCCTGGAACCCAAGTACCATAAGAATGTGTTGGCCCCAATAAGTTCTCTGTCTTTCCAGCCCCTCCTCGACTGCTGCTTTTTAGACAAAACTTGGAAGTGAGGCATAGGGGTCTGGGAAGGGATTGTTTGTCTGACTCATTTGTTTTTGTATTTGGGTGTCTTTCAGACTCCAGTTTGTTCCTCCAGCTCATGCCAACGGCTAAGGTCCAACTGATTTCTCTTCATCTTTGCGAAGTTACTGCACCATGGCAGGCCAACACTTTCCTCAGTGGATGGTCAGAGCTCACTGCCGGGTAAGGAAGCTGCCAGAGCTTTATACTCACTTATAAAGAGAATATTTCTTTTTGGATTTCTGGTCATTAAGGCTTCCAGGTAGGGAGGTTTCACAGGCTTCCAGTTGCACTGGGCTTCGTGATTAAGTGGACCCCACACTTGGTTTAATGGTCTCATGTTACCATCTTAAAATTCTTAATTTTTGAACAAGGGACTTGGCAATGGCACAAATGATGTAGCCAGTCCTGCTTACTGGCACCCACTGCTCTTCACCAACCTCATAGAAAAGTAAGATTTTTATTTTGTCTGGGTTTCTTTTGTTGTTACTATGGGAGCATAGGTGTTTTGAATCATTCTCCATTATACTGAGAGCAGAAGTCCATTTAATTTATGCCTACCTCCTTTTAACATTTACCTTAGAGAACTTTGGGATTTTATATTGAAATTAACTGGAGCTTTCTCATGTAAATTTCACTTCCTTAATACATTTTTCTAATTTCCTTTAATTGAAATGTGGGTATTATTTTAATGGATAAAGAAGATATCACACACACACACACACACACACACACACACACACGCACCCTGGAATATTACACAGCCATGAAAACGATGAGATATTGCCATTTGCAACAACATGGATGGACCTAGAAGGTATTATACTAAGTGAAATAAATCAGACAGAGAAAGACAAAAACCATATAATTTCACTTACATGTGGAATCTAAAAAGCAAAACAAATGAATAAACAAACAAAAGCAGAACCAGAACTATAAAGACAGAGAACAAACTGATAGTTGCCAGAGTTAGGGGTTTGTGCAAAATGGGTGAAGAAGAATAGGAGATACAGGCTTCTAGTTGTGCAATAAATAAGCCACAGGAATAAAAGGTCCGGCATAGAGAATACAGACAGTGATATTGTGATAGTGCTGTATGGTGATAGATGGTAGCTACACTTGCGGTGAGCAGAGCATAACCTATAGAGTTGTTGAATCACTATGTTGTACACCTGAAACTAATGTAATGTGTGTCAACTGTACTCAAATAAAAAAATTTTTTTTTAAATGTGGGTATTATTTTTAGTGCTTTGTACTAGAAATGGTTTGATAACCATTATAAGAAAAAAAGGCAACATTTAGATTGTTTTAATTAGCCTCCTTATATTCCATGTATTTCTAAATATACTGATAGCTTCCTTCTAGCAAAACTACTACACTCACTCTCTCTGAAGGTATTGTATCCTGAACATTTTTTTTGTTTCTAAGCATTCTGTGCACACCATCTCTTATTTATTACCTTCTCAGTCTAGAGTCCCATGTTTTCCATTAAATTTTTTTCACAGCTCTATGCAGCTTTGCTTTTGAATACTTATTTTTATAATGATTGTCACATATACCTTTTATTTTGTTATTTGTTATTGTCTGTTATATATTTGCTTATATTCATCATATATTTTAACAGTATTAGGGAATGAGATATTCTCTTCAGCCTCAAGTGTGTAGATATTTTTACCAAAATGTGGTGATTTTGTGATCTTGATCATTTTATATATTGCTGTGAAATATGAATTTTAGTAAATTAAAATATACTACAATCTTTTCAGACATGTCAATATCAGATCATTAGGATACTGTATTAGGGTATTCTGAATTCCTCTTTTTTTTTTTAAGATTTTATTTATTTATTTGACAGAGAGCGAGAGCAGGAATACAAGCAGGGGGAGTGGGAGAGGGGGAAGCAGGCTTCCCGCGGAGCAGGGAACCCAAAGTGAGGCTCGATCCCAGGACCATTATCATGACCTGAGCTGAAGGCAGATACTTAACAACTGAGCCACCCAGGCATCCCTAAATTCCTCTTATTTGTCCTTCTTCTAACTGGTTTTTCACTCTCTAGAATTGGTCTTACTATTCTTCTAAATAACAACACATTTCTCTGACATTTATCTACTCATTTCTTCATTAATTTATACATATTCCAAGTACTTACTATGCACTAACCCTGAGCCAGTCACTGTATGAAATTTTGACAGTTCAGCAGTGATTATACCATAGTTTCTATCCTCATATAGATATGAATCTGCTGTGTGTTATAATAGATAATCTTTTGGGGGAATAAGGAAGGCTTCATAGAAAAAGTTACTTTTAATTTGATCTTTAAAATAAGAGTTAAATAGGCCAAGAAGGGATTGGAGGGAGAGGGCTTGGGACAGGGAACCTTCCAAGCAGAAGAAAGAATGTGTACACAGTCTCTAAGGCAAGGAAGAACAAGATGTGGTCTTGATTAAAATTAATTTGTCTAATGAAAGAATATGTTTTCAACTTATGAGGAAACTACTAATAAAAATGGGATTATTATTTATTACACTGAAATATTTAAATTATTTTCACCATGTCACTAGTGTGGCCTTTTATTTTTTATTTATTTTTTATTTTTTTAAAGATTTTATTTATTTATTTGACAGAGAGAGATACAGCGAGAGAGGGAACACAAGCAGGGGGAGTGGCAGAGGGAGAAGCAGGCTTCCCACCGAGCAGGGAGCCCGATGCGGGGCTTGATCCCAGGACCCTGGGATCATGACCTGAGCCGAAGGCAGACGCTTAACAACTGAGCCACCCAGGCGCCCCAATAGTGTGGCCTTTTAAATATGTCATCAGCAAGAGGGGCAAGTTACTATATTTTTGGCTCTGAATTTATTGTAGACACCATCCAAGATAGTCCAAAATATCTCGGAACTCTTGTAGGAATTTGAAATGAGGATATTCAAGAGGATTCATGTGGAGTTTTTTTCTAGGAGCAATATATAAGAGGGAAGCCTTTTATGGAATTTGGTTTGGAGGCTTGGGATTTAAACATTGACCTCTGTACCTTTCTAAAGTGAGTATTTTACAATGTCTTATGGCTCTGAAAATTATAACTTAAGTCCAGTATCATTTACTTAAGTAAATTATATGTAAACATCATAAACAGTCTGATTTTATGTTAATTGGCGATATTGATTTTACTTCATTAGAAAATGCAAAAACCTCCAAAGAACATTGAAGAATTCTTAAAGTTTCAAAATTGGGTGAGTAGAACATCTATTTTATGTGCCAATACATCTTTTAAAATATCACTTGTGGAGGGGTGCCTGGGTGGCTCAGTCAGTTAAGCGTCTGACTCTTGATTTCGGCTCAGGTCATGATCTTAGGGTTGTGAGATCGATTGAGCCCCTGCTTGGGATTGTCCCTCTGCCTCTCTCTTTCTCTCTCTCTCCCTCCCCATCTCTAAAAAACTAAAAAATAAAAAAAATATCAGTTGTGGAGATGTGGGAGGCTTAGGAAAAGACTTTAGGAATAGAAATTCAAAAAACTACATTTCAGTGTGGGAAATACTTATAAATATTTATCTCTTTTCAGTAGGCTCTATGTTGTAGCCTTTCCCTCTTGTCAATATTCTGTTCTCTTTTTGACTTTGAGAAAATTCTAGTTTTATACAAACATTTAAAATAATTTTGCTGATGTAAGGTGTTTGTCTAAATACACCTTAAAGACTATCCGATAGGGGCACCTGGGTGGCTCAGTTGTTAAGCATCTGCCTTCGGCTCAGGTCATGATCCCAGGGTCTTGGGATTGAGCCCTGCATCGGGCTCCCTGCTCAGTGGGAAGCCTGCTTCTCCCTCTCCCACTCCCCACTGCTTGTGTTCCCTCTCTTGCTGTCTCTCTGTCAAAAAATAAATAAAAAATCTTAAAAAAAAAAAAAAGACTGATAATTATGAGTACTTACCTCATTTATCCATGTACCACAGCTTAGACTAACAAGTAGTTTGCAGAGGTGTTCAGTTTCCTTGATTGTTGAATCAGAGTGAAATATTCAAAATGTATTTTCATGTTGAAAGCTCTAGTTTCCATTATTATGAGTAATACTGACTTCTGGGGTTATTGGGCTTGCTACAAGCTTTCCCTTGGGTCTATACACTTGTGAGTCTGAAGGTCAGGTTTGTTTTGCATTGAAGAATGGCAAGAGGAACACCTGGGTGGCTCAGTCGGTTAAGCCTCTGCCTTTGGCTTGGGTTTTGATCCCAGGGTCCTGGGAAGTAGTCCTGCATGGGGCTCCCTGCTTAGCAGGGAGCCTGCTTCTCCCTCTGCCTGCAACTCTCTCTGCTTATGCTCTCTCTCTCTCTCTCAAATAAATAAGTAAATAAAATCTTTAAAAAAAAAAAAAAGAGGGGCGCCTGGGTGGCTCAATTGGTTAAGCGGACTGCCTTCGGCTCAGGTCATGATCCTGGAGTTCCGGGATCGAGTCCCGCATCGGACTCCAGTCCCGCATCGGACTCCCTGCTCAGTGGGGAGTCTGCTTCTCCCTCTGATCCTCCCCCTCTCATGCTCTCTGTCTCCCATTCTCTCTCTCAGATAAATAAATAAAAAATCTTTAAAAGAAAGAAAGAAAGAAAGAAAGAAAGAAAGAAAGAAAGAAAGAAAGAAAGAAAGAAAGAGAAAGGAAGGAAGGAAGGAAGGAAGGAAGGAAGGAAGGAAGGAAGGAAGGGAAGAAAGAAAGAAAGAAAAGAATGTCAAGAGCTAGGATAAAGATGTTAGTGTGGAAAACAGAGAGAAAAGGAGGCTTTTTTTAATGAGGTGTGTACATTGGACTTTAAATAATTTGCACCTATTTATGCTTATATATAAACAGAATTTGCTATAACTACAGTGTTGAGAATAGAATTTCAAAAATATCTATTTTTAAACATCTATTTTCTGTTCTTTGTTTAAATAATTTTTTTTTTAATGTTTTAGAAAAGCACTGAGTGTCCTTTAGGAGCAAATAGAAAATGAAAATATTCCTAGTTTATAAGAGTTTATTTCAATCACTGTGGCAGAGCCTAATTTTTTAAACTACTATTAGGACAAACTTTTTGCAATTATTTTGATTTAAATGATGGAAATGTGCTGTAACCTAATCACAATGTTTGAGGTCTTTTAATGCCAAGGGAAAAGGATTATAGTTAAAATCAAGCCAAACTCAGTGAATAATTATGGAGACATTTGGACTATACCATCATACATGTTTAAGAATCTATGATTTCAGATGAAAATTTCTAATTATTTGAATTGGAAAATGCATAATCACTCTGCTTAAGAATAATGCTAATCAAATCAAGATCATAGGTTTACGCCAACCCTTCACCAAAGACAATAAAATCAAAATCAAAGCATATGTCTTACTAACGGCGTGTAAGCAGCACTATCTTTGTATGTACTTATATTGATAGCCTTCAGTTTTTATCAGATGGCATTTGATGAAACAACATATATCCATTTGCACCATTTTATCATTTATAGGTTTATCTGTAAAATGTTTTTTATTGTCTGGATTTCCCAGCCAAATACTTGTATTCTGTAATTACTTTTTTTAAGGTATGTCTATGTCTCTGCATTGCCAAGCTATTGGATGTTTGAAAACATCCAGGAATAAAATGACTGGATATTTAATTTTTTGTTTGCTGGACAAAACTTTTGTCTAGAGGCATTGGTAAGAAGGTAATAATAACTTCCTCAAATTCACTCAAGAAATATTTTTGAGTACCTATTACATGCCAACCACATGAATAATTAGAATATATCAGTGAATAAAAATAGAAAAAGATCCCCACCTTCATGGAGCTGTCATTTTTTTAGAAATGAGGCATATGATAAACAAACAAATGAATAAAACAAAACAGAAATTAAAATATATTCTAAACTGCTTATGTCTTCCTGAAAAGCCTATCTATTTAATTTCCCTCTAAACTATAAAAGCAAAGGTATGTATGTGCATAGTGGTGTAGTGGTTAAGAACAGAGGCTCTGGTGTCAGATTGCCTATGCTCAGATCCCAGCTCTGCTACTAGCTAGCAGTAGACCAGTACCTGGAACCTACATGTTAGCTGTTAGTTTCTCATGTCTTACAATTTATCTTTTGTCACATCATCTAAAGGTGTCCATTTTGGCTGATTCCTACCATTTTTATCTTTCTTTTGTAATTTTAATATTTTATAACTTCTACTCCTATCTTTCCCCTCTTCCTTATTATAGTTCTGTGTACTTTTTTTTACCTTCAGTCATTTCTCATTTATCTATTTGATCAATTTCCGTATTCTCTTCCTGCTTCTTTTCCCCTTACTCCATCACCATTCTGTTTCTATTTTTATTTTTATAAAAATACTTTATATTCTATTTTTATAACAGCCTCTTATTCCTTTTTTGTAATTTAATTTAATTTTATTATGTTATGTTAGTCACCATACAATAAATCATTTGTTTTTGATGTAGTGATCCACAATTCATTGTTTTCATATAACACCCAGTGCTCCATGCAGTACGTGCACTCCTTAATACCCATCACCGGGCTAACCCACCCCCCACCCCCCTCCCCTCTAAAACCCTCAGTTTGTTTCTCGGAGTCCATAGTCTCTCATGGTTTGTCTCTCCCTCCAATGTCCCCCCCTTCATTTTTCCCTTCCTTCTCCTAATGTCCTCCATGCTATTCCTTAAGTTCCACAAATAAGTGAAACCGTATGATAATTAACTTTCTCTGCTTGACTGATGTCACTTAGCATAATCTCCTCCAGTCCCATCCATGTTGATGTAAAAGTTGGGTATTCATCCTTTCTGATGGCTAAGTAATATTCCATTGTATATATGGACCACATCTTCCTTATCCATTCATCTGTTAAAGGGCATCTCAGCTCTTTCCACAGTTTGGCTATTGCAGACATTGCTGCTATGAACATAGGATTGCATATGGCCCTTCTTTTCACTACATTTGTGTCTTTGGGGTAAATACCCAGGGGTGCAATTGCTGGGTCATAGAGTAGCTCTATTTCTAATTTTTTGAGTCACCTCCACACTGTTTTCCAAAGTGGCTGTACCAACTTGCATTCCCACCAACAGTGTAACAGGGTTCCCCTTTCTCCACAACCTCTCCAGCATTTGTTCTTTCTTGCTTTGTCAATTTTTGCCATTCTAATTGGTGTAAGGTGGTATCTCAGTGTGGTTTTGATTTGAATTTCCCTGATGGCTAATGATGATGAACATTTTTTCATGTGTCTGTTAGCCATTTGTATGTCTTCTTTGGAGAAGTGTCTGTTCATATCATCTGCCCATTTTTTGAGTTGATTATTTGTTTTTTGGCTGTTGAGTTTGAGAAGTTCTTTATAGATCTTGGAAATCAGTGCTTTGTCTGTAGTGTCATTTGCAAATATCTTCTCCCATTCTGTGGGTTGCCTCTTTGTTTTGTTGACTCCTTTGCTGTGCAGAAGCTTTTTATCTTGATGAAGTCCCAAAAGTTCATTTTTGCTTTTGCTTCACTAGCCTTTGGAGATGTATCTTGAAAGAAGTTGCTTTGGCCGCTGTCAAAGAGGTTACTGCCTATGTTCTCCTCTAGGATTTTGATGGATTCCTGTCTCACATTGAGGTCTTTCATCCACTTTGAGTTTATCTTTGTGAATGGTGTTAGAGAATGGTCGAGATTCATTCTTCTGCATGTGGCTGTCCAATTTTCCCAGCACCATTTATTGAAGAGACTGTCCTTTATCCATTGCATATTTTTTCCTGCTTTGTCAAAGATTATTTGACCGTAGAGTTGAGGGTCCGTATCTGGGCTCTCTATTCTGTTCAGTTGGTCTATATGTCTGTTTTTGTGCCAGTACCATGCTGTCTTAGTGATCACTGCTTTGTAATAGAGCTTGAAATCAGGCAACGTGATGCCCCCAGCATTGTTTTTCTTTTTCAACATTTCCTTGGCAAACAGCCTCCCCTTCTACCAGTGTTGCATTATTATCAATTCTCTTACTTATCCTATTCATTCATTCATTTAATGATTTTTATTCACTACCTACCAGGTCACAGGTATTGTTCTGGACACTGGAGATATGACAGTGAACAAATAAGAGAAAAATCCTTGCCATTGTGGAATTTGCATCACCCTGCTTTTGCACTATTTCTCTTTAGTGTCATACTTTTTTAGTCCTTTTCAGTTCTTTAGGTACTGGAAAATTGAATTCTTTCCTTATTTATACATCACATTTGATCTTCCCTGTTATTTATTTCTTCTTCTGTGTCTTGTTTTTCTGCTTTCATGTGACTTTTATCTAGAAATGCTTTAATTAATCTTCTCTCGGTGCACTGGTATCAATTTTCATTAACAAGTCTACTGCATTTGTAATCAAGACCTAGAGGGTACTCAGATTCCTACCGTGATTTTTCTCACAGGATCAAAGGTACTTTATGGTAGAATAATTATTTCAATCCAATTTTCTTTTTTAGGGAACAGCCTGTTTGTTTGTTGTCTGTCTGTTTATTCATCTACCCATCCACCCATCCATCCATTTAAATCCCTCCTTATATTAAAACTTAAGGGAAGAAGAGCTAAAACTCACTTCTAATAACGTCATTCTTCGTATTTCTTACCCTTTTTTTGGATACTTTGGCACTGTTTTTTAGGGTTTAGGTCATGGGTGAAGACCTAACCAATATATTCAGTAAACAATCTCTTTTCAAACTTCAAAGTCTCTCTAGTGGCTACTAGGCTCAATCTCTAGTTGTGTACTAGCATGCAATATTTTGTGCTTCTGCCACTGCCAAAGTTTAATTGCCATAATTAAAGTAAACATAACAAGTACAGAGCCAGTTCTTTCTTCACTGGCCTTTTAAATAAGATAAATGTTTTCCTGAAGTTATCACTGAAGAGTATAGTGCTATAATGGAGAATTTAACTCTTCAGGGAACAGAAATTTCCAGTCCAATTCTTTTGTCTCTTAGGAATTAGAATACATTTGTTTTATAAATGAATATAATTGCTGTGGACTCTGGATGTTTAAACCCTAGTAGTGCTGATTTCTCTCTGGCAGTAATGACTTCACTTTAGCCTGGCAGCTTGTTGGCTTATTGGCTACTCCTGTTTAGCTTCCCCCTAGGTCTGGCTACAGAAGTTACTTTCAGATGATATTCTATTCAAGGAGCAACTGGATGAAGCCAAAATAGAAAGGAATAATAGAGGAAAGTAATTAGAAAAGTGGAGGGGAAAGGCAGGTATGAGCTACTACAAGATCATCATCTGGTATCCATTTAATCATGCAGCCACAAAGAAGCCAGTAAAAGAATTAGGGCTTATTTACACATCACCTTCTTTACGTTAATGGCTTTGGGACATCAGTCAATCTCCTGATTACCTTGAGAAAGTACAGAAGACAGAGTCTAATCAGGCTTATAGGATTTCAGGATACTTTATTCACCTTGTAATATACCTCAGTATCTTAGGAATAAGGATTGTGATATCTCAAGTCTGGCATAAAGGATATATTTTCATAAAGGTATGTGTATATTGTAAAATCTTGTCAAATGCCATTTCTATTTTCACCTCTTTCCTCTCTCCCAACACCCCTAACAGTAGCAACACATGGCCCATAAGGACTGCGTTTCCAAATGTGGCTGTCATTCTGACTTGACAGTGTTTGTCTCCAGGGATTGTATCCTGTGATCATATCTGGTTCTTCTGAGGTCTTTGTACTTTTTGGCACATAATACGCAAATTTTAATGCAGGAAAACTTCTCCAGGTGGTTGTGTCTTGTTTAAGGTACACATTTGTAGGATTTGGGAGATGGCACTTAATGTATCAAAGTATATTCTTTTTTCTAAAATGACAGAGGGACCTAGATATCTGTGGGAAAGTTTTCCAGAATTAAAAGCTGGGTATTTTTCAGGTACCTGTTATTATTAGCATAATTCATAAATCAGACGTGTATGATGGGTTTAGGAAGCCTTTAAAGGAAGAAAAAGGCAGGTGGAATAAACCAACACATGTTTATAATTCCTGATCTGCAGACATTAGATTTATTCCCATTTAGCTAAATTCCCAGAGTATCTCACCCAAATTCCGTTAAAGAGTTTTATCCTCTGCAGATTTTCTACCATTCCAAAAATATCTTTTACTCATAAACCCTTAATTATGTAGGCTAACTTTGTTTTGCTATTAGTTGATTATATTAAAAGATAATCTTATATTTAGATTTACAGATATGGTTATGATTCCCCTTCCTTTACCTTTCTTTTTTCCCCTTCCTCTCTTTCCCTTCCTGAACAATTTAGTCCCAAAGCCATTTGGGGGCCCAAACAAGGCAGGTGTCCATATTTGCCCTGGGGAGGAGGATATGCTGTGATGGCTCTGAGCAAGCTCTCTGAACTCAACCATGATGAGGAGAGTATTCATGTGACACCAAAGGTGTCAGAGCTCAAGGGAATGAGATGGTAGCCACCTGCAGCTGGGGACCAAGGTTTTTTCAGGGAGGTGTGGAGGTAGGCTGTGGCTTGTATGGGAATTCAGAGCCCAAGCAGGGGTAACAAAGGTGTCCCTGCAGAATTGGCAGCCTGGGACTGGATGTCAGAGTCGAAGCAGGATGAAAAGGGCATCTACATAGAAAAGAGGCTCCCAGTGGATAGGAGAGACTGGTTACCTGAAAAGATTGATCAAATATGTACATTAAAGATAATGGCAACTAGATTTTCCACTGTTAGAGATGGTAATTGTGATATGGAAAAAGAGAAAACTAAAATGTTTGGAATTGAAATTTCAGGTTTCAGGGTGAACTCATGGTTTTAAATACATGGAGGCCAAGAAAAGACTGGGGAATTTTTAGACTGAAGGAGACTAAAGACATATGAAGCCCAAACGTAATAAGTGATACTGAACTAGATCCTTTTGCTATAAAGGGCATTACTGTTTCAGTTGATAAGACGTGACCAGAGTCAAACTTAGATGGGAACAATGTATCAATGCCAATTCCTAATTCTGTTCGTTGTATTTTGATTATGTAGAAGAATGTTTTTGTTTTGGGGAAATACACACTAATGTATTCAAGGATGATGGGGCATCAGTCAAGTAAGCAACTTACTTTCAAATGATTCAGAAAGGTTTTTTGTAAAACACGTGAAACTTTTGGGGTACCTGGGTGGCCCAGTTGTTAAGGGTCTGCTTTCAGCTCAGGTCATGATCCCAGGGTCCTGGGATCTAGCCAGCATCAGGCTCTCTTAACGAGAAGGCTGCTTCTCCCTCTCCCACTCCCCCTGCTTGTGTTCCCTCTCTCGCTGTGTCTCTTTCTGTCATATAAATAAATAAAATCTTTAAAAAAAAAATCTGAAACTTCTAAAGTTTATGATTGTTTCACTTTTTAGAAATGCATTTAATGAAAAGTAATGCTGTGTTGTACAATATGTTGGGCACTTGAAACTAATATAACATTGTATGTCAATTATACTTCAATAATGTAAAAGAAGGTAATGCTGTGGAATTAAATCTCAGTTTTAGCTCATTGATTTAGAACTCTATTATTTAAATTTAAATATAATTAAATTAATATAAATATTTTTATTAATATAAATTTAATTATATCATTATAATTAAATTTAAATAATTAAAATTAAATATAATTTAAAATTTTAAATTATTTAAATTTAAAAATGACTTAGGTTATATTCTCTCACATTTTTTGCAGGATTATTGGCCAAGGGAAATCCATTTTGGAGATAGTGATGAATGGTTACACACTGTGAAGAAAATAAAAGAAGATAGTTCATTTACTTCAATTTATACACATCTGTGGGAAACTGTCCCTCAAAAACATGATGCACTCATGGCCATGGAGTCAAGATTAGAGGAATGTTCAGTCCTTTTGAAAAGCCATGCCTCTAAAATATTTGAGTGGAGGAGCATAATTTTTGATACAAGTAAACCTTATTTTTGATGAGTAAAGTAATGGTCAGTTTTGTGTGTCTGTGTGCATTCTCATAAAGGATGAAATCCTAATGTATAAAATATCTACGAACATAAACATTATTTTATTTTTAAAACTTCTTCATTTCCAGGGACGCCTGGGTGGCTCAGTTGGTTAAGCGACTGCCTTCGGCTCAGGTCATGATCCTGGAGTCCCGGGATCAAGTCCCGCATTGGGCTCCCTGCTGAGCAGGGAGTCTGCTTCTCCCTCTGACCCTCCCCTCCTCTCATATGCACGCTCTCTCTCTCATTCTCTCTCTCTCAAATAAATAAATAAATAAATAAAATCTTTAAAAAAAACCCTTCATTTCCACAGAGTTCAATCAAGATTTTTAGTTGAACATGAACATGTGGATTTAATGAAAGTGTTGTTAGGACAAAGCCTAAAATAGTTGTGAACTTTGTTAAGCTGCAGCGGAGGTGGCTGAGTATCAGGGAAACAGGGTTGGATCAGTTCTATATTGGTACTTGAGACAAGCAAGTCAGCAAGGGTCAGAACATAAGAACAGAAACACATAAAATCCAAAGTAAGGTGAGCTACATGAACTAGGTTAGCTTGTAGGAAGTGTTTAGAATTCAGTGGTGAAAAACTGCAGACTGAGGAAAAAGTGTATCTGCCAGTAACGATCATTTTTACTTCTTTTCAGTATTTGTATAACATTTTTCTTATCTAGTTGTATTTATTAATACTTCCAGAATAGTTTTACATACTAATGGTGATTCTTGTATCATTCTTTATGTAATTGGCAAACTTATCATAATACAATCCTTAAAAATGATAATATTAGTTGTACTTATAAAGTATTTTCTATGTATTAAATGCATTTAATTAGTTATATTACTTAAATATTTAATATCCTTTTTTGACCTTGGTTTTTCAAATTCTGAGAATTTGTTTATTATACTACTAATAAATTCACTACTATTTTAAATTTTCGTATTGAATTTTTAATCACTTTTTTAAATTTAAAAAAATATTTTTGAAATTATATAAGCTATATATATTATATATAGAGAGAGAGAAGGAGGGAGACATATAGAGAGAGTGAGCAAGCACAGGTGTGCACTTTCAAAAAAATAATTTTATACTCATTGTCCTCAATATGTAAATATCTGAGTTTGGACTCCAGTCTGGGTTACCTGACTTCAAAGTTGTCCCCCATAAACTTTCACTAGGCCTTGCTCCAAAGTACTGTACTTCACTGAATTTAAGGTGACCATGAAACAAACAGATATAAGTAGCTGAGCTATTTGAAAAACATGGGCTTGTTCAGTAGGAAGGTATTGAGGTAAAACTTTAGATTTATGAGTAAGTACCAAAGATATATTAGTTGGAACATGAGATTTCTAAAAAGAGGAAACAGAAGATACAATATTCATTCATTCAACTAAGGGTATGCATGTCTAGCATTGTGCTTATCAAAATAGTTGATCTCATTGAATAGTTTTATATATAATTTCTTTAAAGCATTTAAATTTTTTTCACTTTAAAAGATATATATGTGTGTACATATATATCTCATTCTTTTAAAGGTTCTAAAGGAAATTTGGAAAGATACAAGGCATTTCTAAGGAAGTACCATAGGAGAAAGAAGATAATGGTATGGTATTTGTTTTCATCTTCCTTGAAAAATTATATTTTCACAGAAAATTATTATAATTTCACAGATAAGCACTGATAGAATTTTTTTTTAATTTTCTTGTTAGTCTTTTATTGTCTATTTGTGTATCTATGTGTTTTTAAAATAGCTAGACTCATATTCTTCTTTACACACTTAATATTAGAATGCTGGCATTTTCACATTACTATAAATTACTTGAAGACTTAATTTAATGTATACATTCCAACCTCCAGTTATTTAATAATTTATAATAACCTATACTTAGTAGTGCAGGTTCTATATCAGTCCTCTTCCTTTAGAAAAAATTAACAATTCTTTCTGATTATTTAGAATTGCTTTGTCAACTTAAAAAAAAAACTCTGATTTTTTTTTATTAGAATTATAATAGACTTTGAATTGCTTTTAGAAACTTAATCCTTTTCAAAAATACATTCTAAAATTATATAATGTTAAAGCTATAAAGACTTTAAGTGCCACCACTAGTCTATCCACCTCACTAAATGTTATTTTTCAATTTTCAAAATTACTTTATTTTTTCCTGATTATGACTAAAGTAGTCATTTTAGAAAATTAGAAGAAATAGATGAGCAGTAGAAAGGATAAGCACCCTAATTCTATCATTTATAGATAAATCGCATGTACGTCACTATCTAGTTGTTGCTTTCATTTTTCTTTTATTTTATTTTAAAAAATAATTTAGAAAATTCAGAGTAAATTATATATTTGTAATTCATTAAATATATTATGAAATTTTCATTAATATATATTCTCCACCATCTTAAAAGTAAACTAATGTAATAGCCCTTTGGTTAGACATTTAGGTAATTTTCATTATTCGCTATTATTTTACAAAGCTGTTGTGAACATATTTGGAACTGAAGATTGTGCTTGTCCATGATTATTTTCTTAACATAAATTTCCGGAAGTGGAACCACATAGGAAAAGAAATGTGATAATCTAAGTGTTTTGATACCTATTGCCAAATTGTTCTCTAGGAAGGCAGTACCAATTTATAACAATAGGGTTTGTGATTGATCTCTTATCCATTTCCTTGTCAACATTTAATACTATATTTTTTGTGGTTTGCACAGTTGATAAGCATAAATGTTATCAATTGTGTATGTTTTACTAATGAAGTTGATACTTTAGGTTTTTGTTAGTCTTTGTGTTTCTTTTTCTGTGAATTGCCTATTTATGAAATTTGGCCTTTTTTTTTTGGCTGTTCTTTTTTTTTTATTTCTAAGAGCTGTTTATGCTTTAAAAATATTAACCCTTTCAGTAATATGTATTTCTTTGTTGCCTTTTAAAAGGGTTTTTTTGTCATATAGAATTTTACATTTTTATGGATCTATAATTTTATTTTGAAGTTTTCTGCCTTTAGTGCCATATTTAAGAAGACTTTCTTTGTCAGAAGATCATACATATATGCACTTGTGTTCTGTTCTATTATTATTGCAGATATTTGTGTGTGTGTGTGTATTTAATTCTTTATTCTACCCAGTGTTTATTTTTGTGTAAGAAAGTAAAACAAGGATTTTATTTTAGGTCATCAGTAAATTTGTGTGATTTTCTTCATATAAGTTCTAAATATTCCCTGTTAAATTTATTCTTAGGTATCTTAAATTTTTATTACTAATGTCCGTGAAATTGCTTTTCCATTATGTTACTCAGTGGGTTATTGTTGGCATATAGGAAATTATTTTTGGTATATATATATTATTCAAGAATGTTAATGGTTTCTCATCTTGTCTTTGATTTGGAAAGAATACTAGTACTTTGCTACAAGCATCATTTTAAATGTTTAGATAGCTATCTTTTTTTAGATTAATGAAATTTATTTCTATTCCTAGTTTATTAAAGCTTTGTGGATATGGTGTAGATTAGATATAGATCAGTTAGAGATCTAGATACAGGTATTGCTGTGCTCAGACACTTGAAAAAGAATCTTCATGGTTTGAAATGGAGAGGAAAATAATCTGTGATGATAGCAGAAGCTACTTTCAACCTTTAATCTCTGTGGCAGATTACATTAATAACTTTTTTTTTAAAGATTTTATTTTTATTTGACAGAGAGACACAGCAAGAGAGGGAACACAAGCAGGGGGGAGTGGGAGAGGGAGAAGCAGGCTCTCCGCTGAGCAGGGAGCCCGATGTGGGACTCGATCCCAGGACCCTGGGATCATGACCTGAGCCGAAGGCAGACGCTTAATGACTGAGCCACCCAGGCGCCCGACATTAATAACTTTTCCAAAGTTGAGACATTCTTATATTCTTAGGGTATACTTTTTTATTGCATTACTGGATTTGATATGCTATTGTTTTGTGTGGATGTTTGCATCCATGTTTGATAAGATATGATTTTCTTTTGGTTTTGGTATCAAAATTTTACTAAACCCAGAAAATGGGTTACTTAGCTTTATTTCTCTTTCTAGTCTGTAGACTATAGAGCATAGTAGTTATATAGGGATATCATTTGTTTTATATATATATGTGTGTGTATATATATGTATATATACATTTGTTCTTTGGATGTTTGGCAAAAGTCAACTATGCACTTCAGTTGATTTGATTATTATTTATATTTTCCAGAGGGGAAGAGGTAGGTCGGTAACAAAGCTGTGTGGGGGCACCTGGGTGGCTCAGATGGTTCAGCGTCTGCCTTCGGCTCAGGTCATGATCCCAGGGTCCTGGGATCGAGGCCCGCATTGGGCTCCCTGCTCAGCAGGAAGCCTGCTTCTCCCTCTGCCTCTCTCTCTGTCTCTGTCTCTTATGAATAAATAAATAAAATCTTTAAAAAAAAGAAAGCTGTGTGGAAGTTAACAGATTTCATAAATATCAACTTGGGTAGATTGTCAAAACATAATATTGAGTGGAAAAAAGTGAATTACTAAATAATATGTACAGTTGATACCATTTCTTTAAATTTTGTTTATTTTTAAAGATTTTATTTATTTATTTGACAGACAGCAAGAGAGGGAACACAAGCAGGGGGAGTGGGAGAGGGAGAAGCAGGCTTGCCGCCAAGCAGGGAGCTCGATGCAGGGCTCGATCCCAGGACTCTGGGATCATGACCTGAGCCGAAGGCAGACGCTTAACAACTGAGCCACCCAGGCGCCCCTTATTCTCTTTTAGCAATCTGTTATCATTCTTTCAAATTTGTTTCCTATGTCATTTCCTCTATAATGTGTGTTTTGTATAATGTTGTGTGTGTGTGTGTGTGTGTATGATTTGCCTGTGAGCTTAGTTATTTCTGGAAGAAGTGGGGATGTGGAAATTAATAAACAATTTATCAACATGTCTGGATGATCAAAAACTAATGTATACAGAAGGCTACTTAATCTCTGTGTAAAGTAGTATGGTGGACATAGAGATGCACCACCCAGATTCCCCGTCAAGGAAGAATCTGTTGTCCTAGCTGCTAAGAGTGCTGTTAGTGGGGCACCCTTCAGCTGTCAACCCCTTTGGGGTTGCTTCACCTACAGAGAACTTCTTCCAAAGACATACCCTTCCAGGAACCACCTACATCCAGTGACTGATCAAGTTGTGGGCAGAAAGGCCTGGCTCTTTCAACCCAATGCAGGACAACTATGATAGGCCCTTTCAGCTCTAGAGCCCCTTTTAGAGTCCACTGAGGCTGTTAGACTTGTATCATAGCTGATTTCTCCAACTTCCCAATTATGCCTCTCCCCTTGCCTTCTGTAGATATTGATCCCAAAGGCACTCCCAGTAGACATTCTGAATACTAAACTCCACCTCAGAGTCTATTTCTCAGTGAACCAAAAGTGCAATAAGTAGTTTTATATTTCTGTTATAGTCCTTATCTCTCTGTTTTGTTTGTATATGTATCTGATTCCCCTATTGAACTATGACTAGCCTGAGGGCAAGGACCATCTTTGTATTCCTACCATCTAGCACAGTGACAGCATTCTAGGCTTCAGTAGGAGATACACACATGCACACACACACACACACACACAATTAACTGAAGAAATTTACAAAATATAATTTAGAATTTTAAACATTTTATTTGAATGTTTTCCAGCTTTCAGATGAAATGGAGACAAAGAAGACTGTAGAGGTATTTAAAATTTCTGTTCTATAAGATTATGTATCAGAAGTATTATATAGAAATAATGTTTCCAATAATATAGATTTAGCTATAAATATAGATGGGGCTATAAGAGAGAGAGGTGGGAACAGGCATAGACGCTTTCTCCTTCTGCCTAGTCTTTCTTTATGGGTAGTCTAGCTAAAATTCTTGATCATTTGAGTTGTCAAAGTTGGTTCTGAAATATGATTTTGTTTTGCTTTTGGATTTGGCATATGAATATGCCAGGGCTCTTAATTTGAGAGAATCAGAAAATAGGAAGATTTTTTTTAAAGTAGGATAAATAGTTTTCACTTATTTTAATAAATGGAAGTAAAATAATTATGTTAATGAGTTATGGTTAAATATTTATCTGTCTTCTGTAGTCCTGTCAGACGACTTTACTGGAAAGGGTAAAGTAATGACTGTTGTGTGATATTTCCCTCTTTCTAGGGTTGCAGCTTCTCAGGATTCAAAACAAATGAGCTTACTCAACTACCCAGACATTTGGATGCTGAACGAATTTATCTTTTTATTTTAAAAGCCCGTAACTTTGATGTACGTAAACATTTTTATTGTATGATACATTTTGAGAATATGATTTCATGAATCAGACTTTTATTTAAAGCTATGACAAATTAGGTGATAAGCATGATTGAATTTTGAGGGCCTTAAGTCTGGCAGGAAAAGACCAGTGATGCTTAATGCTTTGATCACCAGAAAAGAATGTATTAGATTCTGTGTTACTGCCTCAGGTGTCTGAGGTTGCTACTGTGCATTGTCTTGGCATGTGACTGTAATGAGTGTTTTCCCCTCCCTCTGCCTGCTTTATCAGCTTAAGAGATTTTAGTCTGTTTATTTTGACCCCAGAATAACTTATGAGAGCCCTTCTCTACAACGCCACCTTTTTCCAAGTGTCTGGGGAATTTTTGAGTAGTATCCCTATAAGATAGCAAATTGAAAAACTGCAGGCATAGACAGTAACTAGATCATTGCCCATTGCTTGCCAAGGGTAGGATGAGAGTTGGGTGCTACCTAATATTGATTTCCCCCTTAAATATTAGGTGGTCACCTAACAAGGTTTCTATTTCTTGCAGGTTTCAACAATGTTCCTTATACCCCAGGCAGATTCCTTCCAGATAGTTCTCTGGGATGGACTTGGCCTTGGAGTGAATTACTTAAACCCCTCCTAGAAGGGGGCCAAGTCCATCCCTCACCTCCCCATCCCTCACCTCCCCATCCCTCACCTCTCCATCCCTCACCTCCAGCCTTCCTGTGCCTCTTCATTTCTCAACATAAAATCCCTGTTGTTTTCTCACCTACTATAGTTCATCAGAAAGAGCATAATCCACCATTAAACCCTGTTTTTTCACTCTCTTCAAGATGTCATGTTCCAAGAAGTAGAGTGTGATTGACCTGTTTACCCCTCAGTTAGGCAACTACAGAGCACCTAAATTGACAATTATATCTAGTATGATTCAGTAATGATACTCTGTCTTATTTTCCATACTGATAACAAATGTTTTTCAATTCTCTTTTATATTTTGTGGGATTTTGGTGAGAGTAAAGACTTAGTCTGCCCCCTTTATATGATCACCTGATCCCATTTTTGTAGAGAAAAACTATAGATGCTAATTGTAGTTATGCCTGGATCATGAGCCTATTTATTTGTTTCTCTGACTATATTTTCACAATTTCCTTGGGAAAAAGGCTTTATTGTTATAAAAAGAAATTGATAAATTATTGTTGTTAAAATAAGTTTATAAATGTTCTGGGTAATCTATAATATTCTAACATTCCATGTTCTAAGATGGTACTGTATTTTAAATATGGGTGCATGTACATCTAACACAAATCATAAGGCAATCACATAAATAAGGCATAGATGTACAGCTATGAGAAATTATTAATATGGTTAATTTGGAGGATACTGGCATTATTGAAAGAAATAGGGAAGTGAGGAGTGGAAGTAGATATGGGTAGGGGGTGGGTAGAGTATGACAAGCATCTGGGTATATCTGGGCATAGATACCAGTGTTTTATTTGTTAATACCCCTACCTGATTTCAAAAAAAGAATTTAAATTGGCTTACTATAGCATGTACAATGCAATGGCATTGAAATAAATAGATAATGAAATTAGAGTGAAGAGAATATAAGTGTAGGAAAATAAAAATATCAGGAAAGGTTATTTCATAGAAATGCTTATAGTAACAGACCAAAAGATTGAATTTATGGATCTGAAACTTGGAAAGAGAAGGTTATAGGTTTACTGTTACATGAATGAAGGTATGGGAATCCATGGAATTGATGAATTCACCTAAACCCATCAAAACACATTCCTGTGCCATACAGTCATTATCCTCTGTATCACCCAGAATGGAACTGTGGCTACAGGTGATGCTCAGTAAAAATTTTATTGAATTAAAATGAGTGAAAAATGATCTATATTATAAATAAGAGGAGCAAGCTAAGCCACAGGCATACTGATATACAGGAATAGAAATTCAAGAGAAAATTAGAAGTAATTTTATCCAACCTAGACTCAATGTTAGAACCAAGTTAGATAATCTAAGTTTTAAGGTATGTTTACATTTACTTGACTCAAAAAAGTATCACACAGTCGGGAGGGGAGAGGAGAGAACCATTTAACTTTTTAAACTGGGTTTTGGGCTTCTTAGCCAATTTTAATTTTTTGGTTGTTTTGACTAAATATTGATATACTTTAAAGAACTTGAAATTTTACTGAAAAAGGAAGTTAGTGATACTAAACATAACCAAACTTAGAAACAGTTATGGAGTGTATAGTTAAAAGCATCTTTGCTTGAAATTTGCAAATAATTTAAACAAAATTATTTTCCCCCATATTTCAATTTTCTACTTTTTTCTTTATGTATTTCACATATCTTCTTTGTAATGAAAAAATACTAAATCTAAGCTGTTAAGTACTAAGTACTAAATTGAAGCTGTTACCAGTGTACTCCATACTATAATTAGTGGCCTATGGAAGACAAGTGCCCCCACAGAATATGTAAGTAATCTTTTTGGTATAAAAGTCTGCATGATGTCCTTTTTGTAGACATGTGTTGAGGAACAGGAATTCATACCTATGGATTTCATTAAAGTAAGTCTTGAACTCTACTGAATCTGGTATTTAAAAACTTTTAGTAAATAAGTAAGATAAAAATGATGTATTGAATGTGACTATTCAAACCAAGATTTACCTTATGTGACAATTTTTTATCAATTTCTTTAAGAATACACTCTGTTTGGATGGAGTCTAGACTTATGATGGGGTTTGTTGGGATAGAATTCAGAGATATCTGTCTTTAGAAATTATAGCATGTACCTTGGAGTTCGCTGTTCTTTGTCTAGCCTACACTGTCATTTTAATAGTTACTAGGCAAATGTAATTGTTGAGTATATGAAATGTGATTAGTGTGACTGATGAATTTATTTTATTTCTTTTAATTTATATATAAATTTTAAAACTAATAGTTGATTCCATTATTGAAAACTTTCAATTATGGTTGGAGCAAAATCACAACTATGTATTTATGAAGCCTGAATACTGATCTAGTATTTATGATGAAAATTTATTCTTCAAATTGAGATGTGCCTTAAGTATAAAATATATACAATATTTGAAAGACTTATTCCCACAAAAGAATGCAAAATATTTCATTAAGAATTTAATGCCCATATGTTGAAATAACATTTTAAATATATTTGATTTAATAAACTTTATCCTTAAAATTAATTTCACTTTTTATTTTTATAAAGTGGCTACTAGAAAATTTAATATTATATATATGGCACAATTAAATTTCTTTTGAAAAATGCTAGTCTATAACCACTGAATACATACTCTTTATAAAGCCTATTTGCATTAACATGTTTTATAATGGACTTTAATTTGACGTCCATGCATCTTTTGTTCCATAGGAAAAGGTTTTCAAAATCTGGAAGACCCATTTTCTCTCAGAAGCCTCTATTGCCCTTTTACATGATTCCTTTTGGTGGTGGTTTCTGCATAAATTTAAGGTATAATGTTATTTTTTTTTAATATTCTTATGTTAATCCCCATACATTACATCATTAGTTTTAGATGTAGTGTTCCATGATTCATTGTTTGTGCATAACACCCAGTGCCCATGCAGAATGTGCCCTCAATACCCATCACCAGGCTAACCCATCCTCCCACCCCCCTCCCCTCTAGAACCCTCAGTTTGTTTTTCAGAGTCCATCGTCTCTCATGGTTCATCTACCCCTCTGATTCCCGCCCCTTCATTCTTCCCCTCCTGCTACTTTCTTCTTCTTCTTCTTCTTTTTTTTTTTCTTAACATATATTGCATTATTTGTTTCAGAGGTACAGATCTGAGATTCAACAGTCTTGCACAATTCACAGCGCTTACCAGAGCACATACCCTCCCCAGTGTCTATCACCCAGTCACCCCATCCCTCCCACCCCACCCCCCACTCCAGCAAGCCTCAGTTTGTTTCCTGAGATTAAGAATTCCTCATATCAGTGAGGTCATATGATACATGTCTTTCTCTGTTTGACTTATTTCACTCAACATAATACCCTCCAGTTCCATCCACGTCGTTGCAAATGGCAAGATCTCATTCCTTTTGATGGCTGCATAATATTCCATTGTATATATATACCACTTCTTCTTTATCCATTCATCTTTCGATGGACATCTTGGCTCTTTCCACAGTTTGGCTATTGTGGACATTGCTGCTATAAACATCAGGGTGCACGTACCCTTTCGGATCCCTACTTTTGTATCTTTGGGGTAAATACCCAGTAGTGCAATTGCTGTGTTGTAGGCTAGCTCTATTTTCAACTTTTTGAGGAACCTCCATACAGTTTTCCAGAGTGGCTGCACCAGCTTGCATTCCCACCAACAGTGTAGGAGGGTTCCCCTTTCTCCGCATCCCTGCCAACATCTGTCGTTTCCTGACTTGTTAATTTTAACCATTCTGACTGGTGTGAGGTGGTATCTCATTGAGGTTTTGATTTGGATTTCCCTGATGCCGGGCGATATTGAGCACTTTTTCATGTGTCTGTTGGCCATTTGGATGTCTTCTTTGGAAAAATGTCTGTTTATGCCTTCTGCCCATTTCTTGATTGGATTCTTTGTTCTTTGGGTGTTGAGTTTGATAAGTTCTTTATAGATTTTGGATACTAGCCCTTTATCTGATATGTCATTTGCAAATATCTTCTCCCATTCTGTCGGTTGTCTTTTGGTTTTGTTGACTGTTTCTTTTGCTGTGCAAAAGCTTTTTATCTAGATGAAGTCCCAAGAGTTCATTTTTGCCCTTGCTTCCCTTGCCTTTGGCGATGTTTCTAGGAAGAAGTTGCTTCGGCTGAGGTCAAAGAGGTTGCTGCCTGTGTTCTCCTTTAGGATTTGGATGGACTCCTGTCTCACATTGAGGTCTTTCATCCATTTTGAGTCTATTTTTGTGTGTGGTGTAAGGAAATGGTCCAGTTTCGTTCTTCTGCATGTGGCTATCCAATTTTCCCAACACCATTTGTTGAAGAGACTGTCTTTGTTCCATTGGACATTCTTTCCTGCTTTGTCAAAGATGAGTTGACCATAGAGTTGAGGGTCCATTTCTGGGCTCTCTATTCTGTTCCATTGACCTATGTGTCTGTTTTTGTGCCAGTACCATGCTGTCTTGATGATGACAGCTTTGTAATAGAGCTGGAAGTCTGGAATTGTGATGCCGCCAGCTTTGCTTTTCAACATTCCTCTGGCTCTGCGGGGTCTTTTCTGGTTCCACACAAATTTTAGGGTTATTTGTTCCATTTCTTTGAAAAAAGTGGATGGTATTTTGATGGGGATTGCATTGAATGTGTTGATTGCTCTAGGTAGCATTGACATCTTCACAATATTTGTTCTTCCAATCCATGAGCATGGAACGTTTTTCCATTTCTTTGTGTCTTCCTCAGTTTCTTTCATGAGTATTTTATAGTTTTCTGAGTACAGATCCTTTGTCTCTTTGGTTAGATTTATTCTTGGGTATCTTATGGTTTTGGGTGCAATTGTAAATGGGATTGACTCCTTAATTTCTCTTTCTTCTGTCTTGTTGTTGCTGTATAGGAATGCCACTGACTTCTGTGCATTGATTTTATATCCTGCCACTTTACTGAATTCCTGTATGAGTTCTAGCAGTTTTGGTGTGGAGTCTTTTGGGTTTTCCACATAAAGTATCATATCATCTGCAAAGAGTGAGAGTTTGACTTCTTCTTTGCCAATTTGGATGCCTTTGATTTCTTTTTGTTGTCTGATTGCTGTGGCTAGGACTTCCAATACTATGTTGAATAGCAGTGGTGATAGTGGACATCCCTGCCACGTTCCTGACCTTAGGGGAAAGCTCTCAGTTTTTCCCCATTGAGAATAATATTCGCTGTAGGTTTTTCATAGATGGCTTTTATGATATTGAGGTATGTACCCTCTATGCCTATACTCTGAAGAGTTTTGATCAAGAAAGGATGCTGTACTTTGTCAAAAACTTTTTCTGCATCTGTTGAGAGGATCATATGGTTCTTGTTCTTTCTTTTGTTAATGTATTGTATCACATTGATTGATTTGCAGATGTTGAACCAACCTTGCAGCCCAGGGATAAATCCCGCTTGGTCGTGGTGAATAATCCTCTTAATGTACTGTTGGATCCTATTGGCTAGTATTTTGGTGAGAATTTTTGCATCCATGTTCATCAGGGATATTGGTCTGGAATTCTCCTTTTTGATGGGGTCTTTGTCTGGTTTTGGGATCAAGGTAATGCTGGCCTCATAAAATGAGTTTGGAAATTTTCCTTCCATTTCTATTTTTTGGAACAGTTTCAGAAGCATAGGTATTAATTCTTCTTGAAATGTTTGGTAGAATTCCCCTGGGAAGCCATCTGGCCCTGGGCTTTTGTTTTTTGGGAGATTTTGGATGACTGCTTCAATTTCCTTAGTGGTTATAGGTCAGTTCAGGTGTTCTATTTCTTCCTGGTTCAGTTTTGGTAGTTGATACATCTTAGGAATGCATCCATTTCTTCCACGTTATCTAATTTGCTGGCATAGAGTTGCTCATAATATGTTCTTATAATTGTTTGTATTTCTTTGGTGTTGGTTGTGATATCTCCTCTTTCATTCATGATTTTGTTTGATTTGGGTCATTTCTCTTTTCTTTTTCATAAGTCAGGCCAGGGTTTATCAATCTTGTTAATTCTTTCAAAGAACCAGCTCCTCGTTTCATTGATCTGTTCTACTGTTCTTTTGGTTTCTATTTCATTGATTTCTGCTCTGATCTTTATTATTTCTCTTCTCCTGCTGGGTTTAGGCTTTATTTGCTGTTCCTTCTCCAGCTCCTTTAGGTGTAGGGTTAGGTTGTGTATTTGAGACCTTTCTTGTTTCTTGAGAAAGGCTTGTATTGCTATGTACTTTCCTTTTAGGACTGCCTTTGCTGCATCCCAAAGATTTTGAATAGTTGTGTTTTCATTTTCATTGGTTTCCATGTATTTTTTTAATTCTTTAATTTCCTGGTTGACCCATTCATTCTTCAGTAGGATGCTCTTTAGCCTCCATGTATTTGAGTTCTTTCCGACTTTCCTCTTGTGATTGAGTTCTAGTTTCAAAGCATTGTGGTCTGAAAATAGGCAGGGAATGATCCCAGTCTTTTGGTACCGGTTGAGACCTGATTTATGACCTAGGATGTGATCGATTCTGGAGAATGTTCCATGGGGACTAGAGAAGAATGTGTATTCCATTGCTTTGGGATGGAATGTTCTGAATATATCTGTGAAGTCCATTTGGTCCAGTGTGTCATTTAAAGTCTTTATTTCCTTGTTGATCTTTTGCTTAGATGATCTGTCCATTTCAGTGAGGGGGATGTTAAAGTCCCCCACTATTATTGTATTGTTGTCGATGTGTTTCTTTGCTTTTGTTATTAATTGCCTTATATAATTGGCCGCTCCCATGTTAGGGGCATAGATATTTACAGTTGTTAGATCTTCTTGTTGGATAGACCCTTTAAGTAGGATATAGCGTCCTTCCTCATCTCTTATTACAGTCTTTGGTTTAAAATCTAATTTGTCTGATAGAAGAATTGCCACCCCAGCTTTCTTTTGGTGTCCATTAGCCTGGTAAATGGTTTTCCACCCCCTCACTTTCAATCTGGGGGTGTCTTTGGTTCTAAAATGAGTCTCTTGCAGACAGCATATCGATGGGTCTTGTTTTTTAATCCAGTCTGATAGCCTGTGTCTTTTGATTGGGGCATTTAGCCCATTTACATTCAGGGTAACTATTGAAAGATAGGAATTTAGTGCCATTGTATTGCCTGTAAGGTGACTGTTACTGTATATTGTCTGTGTTCCTTTCTGGTCTGTGTTACTTTTAGGCTCTCTCTTTGCTTAGAGGACCCCTTTCAAGATTTCTTGTAGGGCTGGTTTTGTGTTTGCAAATTCCTTTAGTTTTTGTTTGTCCTGGAAGCTTTTTATCTCTCCTTCAATTTTCAGTGACAGCCTAGCTGGATAGAGTATTCTTGGCTGCATATTTTTCTCATTTAGTGCTCTGAATATATCCTGCCAGTCCTTTCTGGCCTGCCAGGTCTCTGTGGATATGTCTGTTACCAATCAAATGTTTCTACCATTGTAGGTTACAGATCTCTTCTCCCGAGCTGCTTTCAGGATTTTCTCTTTGTCTATGAGATTCGTAAGTTTTACTATTAGATGTCGGGTTGTTGACCTATTTTTATTGATTTTGAGAGGGGTTCTCTGTGCTTCCTGGATTTTGATGCCTGTTTCCTTCCCCAAATTAGGGAAGTTCTCTGCTATAATTTGCTCCAATATACCTTCTGCCCCCCTCTCTCTTTCTTCTTCTTCTGGGATCCCAATTATTCTAATGTTGTTTGGTCTTATGGTATCGCTTATCTCTCGAATTCTGCCCTCATGATATAGTAGTTGTTTATCTCTCTTTTTCTCAGCTTCTTTATTTTCCATCATTTCATCTTCTATATTACTGATTCTCTCTTCTGCCTCATTTATCCTAG